AAGACAACAGGCATAAACCAGGATGTGTGGTCCCTATAATAATTTTTATAGTCAATAGTTTTTCAACCAAGGAGATAGAAGAGACAGAATCAGAATGGTTACAATGTTCTGTTGTGAAAACTAACGCAGAACATATATGAAACAAAGGCTGTTGGAGACTTAGGTGTAGCCAACTAGCCCAAGATAACCCCCAGTAATAGATCTATTGGACTAGGCAAGAAGGGATGGGATAATATGTCTGCAGAAACAAAACACAGGACCCCCTCACCCAAACTCCATTAAGATAAACCCATTCTTAACATAGCTAGTTACCGAAGATGAACCTATTGAGTGAATGGTTTACCAGACAAGATGGATGATGTCCTGGAAGCACAGGAGCATTTCAGTGGTATAGGGACCAATAGAGGACAGTGTTCAACCTTATGCTGTAAGAAAGTGAGAAGATAACGCCTGTAATCCCAGCACTTTGGGAGGCCAAGGCAGGTGGATCAAGAGATCAAGACCATCCTGGTTAACATGGTGAAACCCCATCTCTATTAAAAATATAAAAAATTAGCTGGGCATGGTGGCGTGTCCCTGTAATCCCAGCTACTCAGGAGGCTGAGGCAGGAGAATTGCCTGAACCCAGGAGGCGGAGGTTGCAGTGAGCTGAAAATGCTCCACTGAACTCCAGCCTGGGTAACGAGCGAAACTCCGTCTAAAAAAAAAAATAGAAAAAGTGAGAAGATAGACTGAATCAAAAGCTTGCAGTGTTAGGACAAACAGTGAGCCATTTTAAGCAAGTCGTTGTGTGAAGGGGAGGGGGCGGATATTATACCAAGTAGTTTCATAATTTACCACATCCTTTGTTGGCTGTGGAGGGGAGCCCTTTTGCCACTGAATGGTACCAAAGACAGCTGACCCTGCCGTAAGTGTGTCAGTAGATCTTCAGGCAGCTATTCAAGAACTGCCTCAAGATCATTCCTTGATTGTGATTGTGTTCAGCACAACTGCAGGTGTGGGGGTGGCAGTGGCCTCCCCTTATCACCCCTGACTTCTGCTAACTCATTGTAGAAGGGTATGTAATAAGGGATAGTAACTTGGTGGGACCTGGTTTATTTAAACAGGTTTAAAACAATATAAAGCAAGCCAACATCTTCCCCTCTTGTCTCCACTTTCCTCAGGTGAGTGTTGATTATTGCATTTGACCCTTGGCGGGGCAGAGTGAAGGTAACTGGACATTTGGTGTAGTACAGCTAATACCTGACCCACGGTTGGATGGTTGGGTTTTTTGGCTTGGAAAGCCCTTTATCTTCTGAGAGACATGACCTCATGTGGGAGGAGCTCTGAGTGTGCCTGTGCCTAGACTCCTGCACCCCCATCAGCCATCCTAGGAGCTTGGTTGGGCTCTAAGGTGCTCGCTGGGGCAGAATTAAGGAATCTCCCTGAGGACAGAGGAGAAGATCCTGATGCCTGAGACCTCAGAGAACCAGGGTCCTAGGGAACCGAGGGTGCATCAGGATCCAGTGAGAGTAGTTAAGTGTCTTCAGCCGAGGAGAGAGAGAAGTCAGCCCAGACTGAGTGGCTGCTGAACACGGTGGTCGGCCTGAGCCTTTTTGAGGCGGCTTCTGAGCTCACAAAGGCCAGCCAGGTCATGTGCACAAATACACCACTGAGACTGATGGGATGGGTCCTCCAAGATTCCTAGAGAGGCGGCAGAGGAGCCGGCCCAAGTGCGTTAGAATATGGACGTTTTTTCTAGTGTCCTGTGCGTTGTGGACCAACTCTTTCCTTTCCCCTAGAGAAGTGCTCAGGTTTTAGTGTCCCCGGTCTCTGTGTAGGCGCTGTCTTGGTCTCCTATACCCATGCAAAACCTCTGTACTTTCTCAGCGATCCAAGGATCACGGTACTTGGAGGTGGTGCTGTTGCCCTATTTTCCTGGGCTTGCTCGAGTTCCCCTCTTATGTAGATCTCTCAGGATCTGGATTTTGTGTTCTGTGTCGGCTCCACCAGACATTTCAGAGACGCAGAGAACTGAACAAAGCACGGCACCTCCTTCTCAGATGGGGGCACAGACTTACCAGCGGGGAAGCCTCACTGGAATCCCTAGGCTGACGGGTCCTTATGGCCAAAAGTTGGTTTCCTTGTATGTTTCCTGAATCCTACGACTGTTTTACCTGAATGGTTTTACAGAGTTTTCACAAAAATCCCCTATACAAATTGTCATGATACTGTATATCTGTAAAGGCTTAGTACTTAAAGAAAAATACTTTGCACGATCCTCCCAATTCTGCAAAACAAAGGGAAGTGGTACGTGAATTCCTCTGGGTAAGACAACATTGAGAAGTCAGCACATTCAAGCAAGTATTCATTGAGTGCTGCACACTGGGCCAGACTTTATGTCGCAAAAATTGGACTATGCCAGATAAAAGGCATTTTTTTACTGTATAGTATAATGAGAAAGACAACTTGCCTTGAGGAAAATAAACTTTGTACAAAGGGACTTTGGAGGTGGGATGTTAAAGATAGCTTCCCTGAGTAGGCAATAGAAGAGCTGTCTCTGTGGACTGTCTGAAGTTGAATAGCAAAGAGGAAATAGACCTTGAGGGATGGAGTATATGAAGGAGGGATCAGAAAACCATTTCAGGAAACTGCAAATAAATGAAGGTGGGTGCATTCCAGCCTGGGCAACAAGAGTGGCAGAGGTGGGGCAAAGAGAGTAGAGAGTAACTGAAATATGCTGAGGAATTTAAAGTTTATAGGGCAGTGTGCTTTTCCATAAATGTCACAGTACAAAAATAAAATCTGTATGCACACTGGCAAGCAGAAGAGACTAGGCTAAGGACATCAGCCTTCCTGGCCACCCTGGTAACTGAAGAGATCAGTATGCTGGTACTCCTATAAGCCATTTGGGAGCACCCAGTAAACTGTGGCAATGCACAGTAGTTGGGCAGTTAAATGCTCTGTCTGGATTTAAGCAGAGGAGTAATGTAGTCTTACTAGCATTCTAGAAATACTCTAAAGTGGTGTGGTGAATAAACTGTAAGGGTGCAAAACTGAAGGCAAGAGAGACAAGAGACTTTTAGTTGTTAAAGAAAGAACCAAAACTGTAAGTTGGTGAAAGTAAGTCACTGGCAACAGAAATGAAGAGGGCACCAGATGGAACTGTATTAAAGATTACAGATTTAACTAGACCTGATAACGAATTAGATTGATGAAAGTGACAAAGAAAAGGTACTGAGAGCATTTACTGTCACATACTAAGTACTACATAAGTATTATTTAAAATAAATGTGCCGGGCACAGTGGCTCACGCCTGTAACTGCAGCACTTTGGGAGGCCGAGGCGGGTGGATCATGAGGTCAAGAGATCAAGACCATCCTGGTCAACATTGTGAAACCCCGTCTCTACTAAAAATACAAAAATTAGCTGGGCATGGTGGCACGTGCCTGTAGTCCCAGCTACTCAGGAGGCTGAGGCAGGAGAATTGCCTGAACCCAGGAGGCGGAGGTTGCGGTGAGCTGGGATCGTGCCATTGCACTCCAGCCTGGGTAACAAGAGTGAAACTCCGTCTCAAAAAAATAAATAAATAAATAAATAAATGTACCCAAGGCTAAATGTTTGGTAAATGTGGTACTATTTTATAAGAGATGGCTAATATTGGATGAAAAATTGGTCGCAGGGGGAAAATGATGAATTTTGGTGGTGAGTTGAAGATGCTTATAAGACGTACAAGTGAAAGGGTCTAATGCACCACTGGACTATAAGGGTCTGGAGCTCCAAAGAAAGATTGGGATGAGAGAATCAGACTTGGGAGTTTTCAGGTGAAAGCTAATGTCATAGAATGGTTGAGATTGCCCATAAGGAATGTGGGATGAGAATAAGGCTGGATTTCAATTTAGGATACTAGACAATTTTGGCAGGCAGAGTAAGAGCCATGAAGCAGACTAAAGAATGGTCACTGGAAACATTTAACAGGCACTTATATATTACGGCCAATACAGTCACATACCACATAGCAATGTTACAGTCAGTAGCAGACCACATGTACAATAGTAGTTCCATAAGATAATAATACCATATTTTTACTGTACAGTTTCTGTGTTTAGATATTCAAATACCTGGCTTTGTGTTACAGCTGCCTACAATATTCAATACAATAACATGCTGTACAGGTTTTTAGCCTAGGAGCAATAGATTATACCCTAGAGCATAGGTGTATAGTAGGCTCTACCAGTCTAGGTTTGTGGAAGTACACTCTATGATAGTCTCACAATGGCAAAATAGCCAAAAGACACATTTCTCAGAACATAATCATGTGATTAAGCAATGCATGACTGTTCTTCCTGAGTGCCAAGCATTAGGCTAAACACTACAAAAACCAACTTATGGAAAAGCAACCAGAAGAGTGAAGTGTTTCTTAGGAGATTGGGAGTAGTTAGCAGTGTCAGGTGCTGCAGGGGCATCTGATTAGCTGGATGTGGTGATGCATGCCTGTAATCCCGGCTACTTGGGAGGCTGAGTCAGGAGAATTGCTTGGACCTGGGAAGTAGAGGTTTCAGTGAGCCAAGATTGTGCCATTGCATCCCAACCTGGGCAACGAGAGTAAAACTGTCTCAATACAAACAAACTTTTGAGATCATCTAGCACAGTTCTTGGCACAAAGAAGTTATACAGGCATATGTTATTTTACTCACACTTTGCTTTATTGTACTTCACAGATACTGTGTTTTCTACAAATTGAAAGTTGGTAGCAACTCTGCCTCAAGCAAGTCTGTCAACACCGTTTTTCCAACAGCATGTGCTCACTTCATGTTTCTGTGTCACATTTTGGAAATTGAGTATTTCAAAATTTAAAATTATTATATCTATTATGGTGACCTGTGATCAGTGATCTTTGATATAATTTGCAATTGTTTGGGGGCACCACTAACCACACCCATATAAGATGCCTAATTTAACTGATAAATGCGGGGTGTGTTCTGACTCTTCAACCCATTCCCCGATTTCTCTCTCCTCAGGCCTCCCTATGCCCTGAGACACAACAATGTTGGAATGAAACCAGTTAATAACCCTACAGTGGCCTCTCAGTGTTCAAGTGAAAGGAAGAGTCTCACATCTCTGTCTTTAAGTTGAAAGCTAGAAAATAATTAAGCTTAGTGAGGAAGACATGCTGGAAGCTGAGACAGGCTGAAAGCTAGGCCTCTTTCACCAAACAGTGATTTGTGAATGCAAAGGAAAAGTTCTTGAAGGAAGTTAAAGCTACACCACTGAACAAACAAGTGAAAAGAAGGTAAAACAGCTTTATGGCTGATATGGAGAAAGTCTGAGTGATCTGGAAAGAAGATCAAACCAGGCACAACATGCCTTTAACCCAAAGCCTAATCCAGAGCAGGACCCTAACTCTCTTCAGTTCTACAAAGGCTGCGAGAGATGAGGAAGCTGCAGAAGAAGAGTCAGAAGCTAGCAGAGGCTGGTTCATGAGGTTTAAGGAAAGAAGCTGTCTACGAAACATAACAGTACAAACTAAAGCAGCAAATGTTGATGTAGACACTGCAGCAAGTTATTCAGAAAACCGAGCTAAGATGATGGATGAAGGCAGCTATACTAAACAGATCTTTAATGTAGATGAATTTATATTAGAAGAAGATACCAACTTGGACTTCCATAACTAGAGAGAAGTCAGTGCCTGGCTTTAGAGGACAGACTGACTTTCTTGATAGGAACTAATGGAGGTGGTGACTTAAAGTTGAAGCCAATGCTCATTTACTAACCTGAAAATCCTAGCGACCTTAAGAATCATGCTGGCTGGGCATGGTGGCTCATGCCTGAAATCCTAGCACTTTGGGAAGCCAAGTCAGGAGGATAACTGAGCCTAGGAGTCTGAGACCAGCCTGGGCAACATGGAAAAACCCTGTCTCTAAAAAAAAGTACAAAACTTAGCTGGATGTGGTGGTACACACCTGCAGTTCCAGCTACTAAGGAAGCTAAGGTGGGTGGACTGCTTGAGCCAGGGAGGCAGAGGTTGTAGTGAGCCAAGATTTCACTACTGCACTCCAGCCTGAGTGACAGAGAAAGACCCTGTGTCAGACACACACACACAAAAAATCACACTAAATCTACTTTTCCTGTGCTCTAAAAATGGAAAAATAGAGCCTGGATGATAGCACATTTATTTACAGCATGGTTTACTGAATATGTTAAGCCTACTGTTGAGTCCTACTGTGGAAGGGTGGGGGTGGAGATTCCTTTAAAAATATTACTGCTCATTGACAATGCACCAGTCACTGAAGAGCTCCTCAAGAGGTCAATATTGTTTTCATGCCTACTAACACAGCTAACCATTCCACAGCCCAAAGATCAAGGAGGAATTTCAACTTTCAGGTCTCCTTATTTAAGAAGTACATTTTATAAGGGTATAGCTGCTAAAGATAGTGATTCCTCTGATGTATCTGGGGAAAGTAAACTGAAAACCTCCTGGAGAGATTCACATTCCAGATACAATCAAGAACGTTTGTGACTCATGGGAAGAGAACAAAATATCAACATGAACAGGAGTTGGAAGAAGTTGATTCCCATCCTCATGGATGCCTTTAAGAGGTTCAAGACTTCAGTGGAGGAAATAACTGCAGATATAGTGGAAACAGCAAGAGAACTACAATTAGAAGTGTAGCCTGAAGATGTGACAGAATTGCTTCATGCTTATGATAAAATTTGAATGGATGAGAAGTTGGTTTCTTATGGATAAGCAAAGAAAGTGGTTTCTTGAGATGAAATCTACTGATAAAGATGCTCTGAAATTGTTGAAATAACAGCAAAGAATTTAGGATGGCACATAAACTTAATTGACAAAGCAGTGGCAGAGTTTGAGAGGTTTTACTCCAATTTTGAGAGTTCTGTGGGTAAAATGCTATTAAACAGCACTGAGTACCACAGAGAAATAGTTCACAAATGGAAGAATCAATCAATGCAGCAAACTTCGGTGTTGTCATACTTTAAGACATTGCCACAGCCAGCCCAGCCTTCGGCAGTTATCACCCTGGTCAGCCATCAGTCAGCAGTCATCAGCAAGACCCTGCAGCCTCAAAAAGATTATGAGTCACTGAAGAGTCCGGCCTTGTTTTGCAATAAAAATCTCTTAATTAAGGTATGTGCATTTTTTAGACGTGCTACTCTACACCTAATAGACTGTCATATGGCACAAACATTTATATACACTGGAAAGCCAAAAAAAACTGTGAGACTCACTTTATTGCAATATTAGCTTTTTTGCAGTGTTCTAGAACCAAATCTGCAGTATCTCCAATGTATGCCTGTAAACGTTAATTGACCCATCTTTGACATGCAATATAAGCAGGCTGAGCCATCGCTTTTTGCACCTATTTTCTTAATCATCTGAATATTTCACTACATTTTATAGTTCTAAAAGCGAATAGTGTCTTATTCTTTATTCCTGAAGTAACTAAAATGTCTCTTAGTTAATTTTATGTTATTTTTGCTTATTTCACAGAAATTTCTTTTTACTTTCTAATCATTGCCTTTATCACAGCCATTCACTCTGAGTAAATTTGTTCCAGTTTGGAGTTGATCTTCTTTAACAACGATGCGTTATGCCTTAGCATCAGCCTGAAGTATATCTACTGCTACAGTGAGCCAGTCTGAGCTGTTTCACCCAGGAATGTATTCAGACCAATTGCAGAAGAACCAGAGAAGTGTCAAATAGTTAAAGAATCTAGCCCACACGGGAAGGGAGCTTCTGGTCAGGAGTTCTTCAGACAGAATACTACGGGTATTTACTTGAGCCTCAAGTGTCCAGCTTCAGGCTCTTCACCATCAATGATGGAGAGCAGCAATACACAGTAACACATCTTGGAACTACTGATACTGGAGTAGTTCCTGACCATCCTGCCCGAGATATCCAGGTCTGAGTATAGGATTATCTCAGAGTATAGGGAAGAGGCTGTCTATGCTGAAGAATTTGGAGAGAAAGCTGAATGATCCAGGAGGAAAGGTAAAACAGAGAAGAAATGTCTATGAGATAGCAGGTATTATCTCCAGAGAGAGATAAGAGAGTTGAGATCACTTTTATAGTCTAGTTACAGGAAAATGGCTAACATGTTATTGCCCAGAATTATTTATTTTTGTTCTATTTTATTTTTTTAACTTGTTGGCCCTGTGTATTTGCCCCTCTTTGTCCCTTTATCCCTGCCCTTGCAGGGATAACTACTATCAGCTCTCCCATTATGTGTTCCACAGTAATACTGGGATTTTAAACTCTAATTTTCAGCAAATGTCACCCTCATTTAGCTATATCTAATTGTCCCCAGTTCCCCACCCTCCTACAGGAGACAGGAAGTACCCCCAATGGCAAGTAGTGTATCTGGCAACGGCATAGGACTCACCTGGCATCTGGCACCAGCCAGTAAAGGGTCAACTTAGCTCTGAATCTGGGAGTTGTACACTGTTAAGGAGAACGTTGAGGAGGAGATAGCAAAGAAGAAGTTAGGAAATGTTGCTGTCTTTTTGCACTTTTCCAAATGAACCTCGTCACTAAATCTCTGCCTACCTTTTCTTTGATCTCTAATGCCTATCCCACTTTTAACTTGTTCCTCGAAGCATATCACTCTAACCTTTTCTTTCTTCACTTTTTTGCCTTAATATTGTTTTTTTTAAAAAATCCTGCTGCTTTCTTCTTATTTTGCATGGTTCAGTTTCTCCTTTCTAATACTGCCAACTTCCTTGATGCAGACCTCTTATCCCAAGGACAGGAGAATGTTTTTCTGTATTGAAGTCAATAGAAAACTATTAAAAGGCTACATGCAATAAAGTTTTAAATGTACTTTTTTAAATGAGTAGAGGAAACATAAAACTTCAGTAGGTACATGCTTACTAGGAAAGCACGATACATGCTAAAATGTTATTACACTATACATATTGCTTACCACTTCTTTCTTAGTTTAATATTACATTATGGATATATTTCCAAGTTACCTATAATACATATATGTAGCTGACATACATTTCACTGCAAGAGTATTGAATTATTTTGTAACTGGCCTTAGAGGGTTTTTACGTTGCTTCTTTTTTCTTTTTCTTTTTTTTAAATACTGCCAACTAAAAGCCATAAACCCTTTTCTTTTTCTTTTTTTTTCTTCACTTTGCATTATGAAACAAGTTTAAGCATATCTAACTGTAGAATTGTACTACTTTGGATAAATCCCCATGAACCTGTCACCCAGCTTCAACACTATCAGATTATGGCCGATCTTGTTTCACTTATAACTCTACTCCATATCCCATGCTTTTGTTATATATATTATATAGGATTACATATATCATATTACATATAAGGATATATCTGAGACAAGCTTCAAAAATAATTTTTATATATAATTTTGAAGCCTATCTCAGATATCATATTCTTTCAAAAGTAAATATTTCAATATTTGCTGTAAAAGATATAAAATTTAAAAATGTAAACAATACTATTTCATACCTAAATAATTAACAGTAATTCCTTAACATCAATTTTCCAGTTTTCTCAAAGATGTCATAAACATCTTTTGTTCATCTTGTTTTTTAACTTATTTGAATCAAGATCCAAGGAAGAAAACATACTGTGATGGGTTGATATGCTCATAAGTTTCTTTTAATATGTGGGTACGCTGTCTTGTTTTCTCTTCCCTTACAACTCACTTGCTAAAGAAAATCAAGTTGTTTGTCCTATATAGTTGCACACAGCATGCATTTTGCTGTCTGCATCACGTGCTGTAGTCTAAGATGTTCTGTTGTCCTATTTTTTGTAAACTGTAGTAATGTACAGGCTTGATCAAAATCAAGTTTTAAGGTTTTTTTGGCCAGATAAATTGAATGATTTTTGTCAAGGTGGTGTGTTATATTTGAAGCCTATATTTTCTGTTTGTCTCTTTTTCTGTGGTGTTAGCAGCTATTGATCCTCAATACCTATAGTCAGTAATCCACTGGGATCCCCAAATGGTGACATTCTAATTGTATACTTCTTTCTTCATTTAATAAAGCTAGAATAGTTATATAAAAAAATACTTCCCCTGATTTTCTGTTTAGTAATCCAATGGTTTGTATAGGAAAGGCAATATAATTGCTTAAGTCACTCCCCGACTACCTTGCTGTTTAGATTAGTTTTCAAAACAATGAATTAGTTAGCAATCGTCCTTTAAAACAGTGGCCAATTGTTAGTATCTTTAGGAACTCGTGGATTAAGCACATTTGATGTTTTTCAATCCATAATACTATCCTTACTGAAGCTCATTTGTCTTCTCTCTGAGCAGTCAAAACCTTTTCAGTTTGGCATCTGAATCTTTATGATATGAACCTAGTCATCTTTGATAGTTTTCTTGCTGACCTGTATGATAAGATGTACCAGGTCCATCTTATAGTTTTCCTTACACAGTCCTAGAATTAATACTTTTTCCAAGGACCCAATTCTGCTTAATGGAAAATAGTATTTCAAAACCAAAAATAGGGCATTAGGAGTGCTTATGGCTTAGTCATTGGTACTAGGCCTTTTCTGTACTCAGAATTAGGAAAAAATTTAGGAGAAAGTGTATATCAAGAGTTCACATTGATAGTTCTAATTCACATTTAGTACTTCGGGGTCTGACTCTTACTTTCATCTGTATCTCCTTTTGGAGGATTCTCAAAGACACAAGGAATGATAGAATATCAAATAATTACTAATTTGCTTTGTCCCACAATATACACACAATAGCCTTGGAATAAAAAAGTCAGTATTACCCACAAATATGATTACTGTAAATAGCTCAATGGGGATGGTGGTTGTGGTGAGGGCGATGGTGGTGGTGGTGTGTGTGTGTGTATACATGTTTTCTATTGTTTTTGTCCTTAAGATATATCTAACTGGGGCTATATATTAAAAAATTACTGCTTTAAAGACATTTGAAATAATTACTCTTTTGTATGGTTATGCTACCAGTGAATATACATGTAAGTTCAGTTTGTTGAATTGTTTTCAATGTTCAGAGAGGGGTTTTCAAAAATTATTTAAAATGTAAATTCTTAGATGTTAAGTTCATAAGGTATTTTTGAGGTTCTATTCTTGTTTTCCTCTTCCTATTGCCTCCCTTTCCCATCAGTAACTTTTCTGTGCTCCTTTTGTGGGTTATCTTTTCATTATTTGTTGTTTTAATACAAGCATATGTATATATACACACAAATACACACACAACCCTTTTTATATGATAGCACATTATAATTTCAGTCATAGACTCAATACATATCTGTTTTATGGGAAACATTTTATTCTTTTATCATTCTGGCATGTAGTTCTAAAAAGTGTTTATTTCATGAGCAAGTAATAGAGAAAAGAATATGTAAATGAGTGAATTATGCTGACATTCTCAGTATCATCTTTCAGATGATTTGATCAAAATGGAGAATGAGAATGCTCTCCCAAGCAGAAGAAATGAAGAAATAAGACACCAACTGGAAAACACTGTCAGATTTAATGGCAGTAATCCTGAGAACTTTGTGTAGATGTCCAAATGTATGAGGAAAGACTAGGAAAATATCCAAAAATACCACAGTGATGAATGTGGAATTACTTTTGCTACTACACTGGGCTAATTTTTAAAAAAAATTTTTTGTGGAGACAGGGGTCTCACTGTGTTGCCTAGGTATCTGAAATTCCTGCCTCAAAGGATCCACGAATTTTGGCCTCCCAAAGTACTGGGTTACAGGCAAGAGCCACTGTACCCAGCTGGTTTCCATTGCCTTTCATATATTGTTTCACTTCCTTTTCCTAAAATATTCCTTATTTTGGTGAAATTACTACTTTTAAAAAATTTGCTTTTTCACACTGTATACTGCTGCTATGATCTGAATGTCTGTGGCTCCCCAAAATTCATATATGGAAATCTAAACAGTCATCACTGTGATGCCCTGACAGTGGGGGCCTTGGGAGATGCCCTCATAAATGAAATTAGTGCCCTTAAAAAAAAAAAAGGCCACAGAGAACTGCCATACCCTTCCACTGTGTGAGGACATAGCAAGAAAGTACCATCATTGAGCCTCACCAGATACCAAGTCTGCTGGTGCCTTAATCTTGGACTTCTCCAGAACTGTGAGAAATAAATGTTTGTTGTTTATACGTCACCCAGTTTATGATGTTTCTGTTATAGGAGATAGAACAGATTAAGACACAACACTTTTTTCTTTCTCCCTTTTTCTAAGAGACAGGGTCTTACTCTGTTGCCCAGGCTGGAGTGCAGTGGTGCAACTATAGCTAATAGTCTCGAACTCCTGGGCTCAACTCAAGGGATCCTCCCACCTCAGCCTCCTGAGTAGCTAAAACTACAGGCATGTGCCAACATGCCCAACTAATTTTTAAATTTTTTGTAGAGACAAAATCTCACTATATTGACCAGGATGGTCTTGAACTCCTGGCCTCAAATAATCCTCCCTCGGCCTCCCAAAGTACTTAGATACAGGCATAGTGTACTTAGATACAGGCATAGTCACCATGCCCAGCCACATGTATACTTTGCTTTCATTCCTTCTTTCCTTCCCCCTTTCTATTCTTTCTTCCTCTTTCTTCCCTTTTCAACTGAACCATCTAAAATCAAGTTGTATGAAATCCCATTTATAATAACCACAAAAAAATAAATACCTAGGAATATATCTAACCAAACTTGAAAGACTGCTACAAAAAGATCTACAAAACACTGCTAAAAGAAATCATAGATGACACAAACAAATGGAAAAACATTTCTGGCTCATGGATTGAAAGAATCAATATCATTAAAATGACCATACTAGCCAAAGCAATCTATAGCTTCAACACTATTCCTGTTAAATTACCAATGTCATTTTTCACACAATTAGAAAAAAACTATTCTAAAATTCATAGAGAAGAAAAAAATAACCAAAATGGCCAAAGCAATCCTAAGCAAAAAGAACAAATCTGGGGGTATCACATTACTTGACCTCAAACTATACTGTAAGTCTACAATAACCAACACAGCATGGTGCCAACATAAAAACAAACATAGAGACTGATAGATCTAAATAGAGAACCCAGAAATAAGGTCACATATCTACAGTCATCTGATCTTTGACAAAGAACAAAAATAAGCAACAGGTGCTTATTTACAAATGGTGCTGAGATAGTTGGCTAGCCATATGCAGAAGAATGAGACTGGGTCCTTGCATTTCATTATATATAAAAAATAATTCAAGATGGATTAGAAGATAGCTGAATAAGAACAGCTCTGGATTGCAGTTCCCAGCAAAAACACAGAGGGTGAGTGACCACCACATTTCCAAACAAACTTTTACTGACCACGGACCAGGAGATTCCCATGTGGAAAAGTGCCACGAGTCTCCATTGCCACTGTTTCGGTCAGCACAGCGGGTATCCACAAAAAAACTCACACAAATCCAGGCGCTGTTTCAACTGGCGACTGGAATGCCTGGAAGACAGAGTCACCCATTCAACTGAAAAAAGGTGGGCTGAAACAGGGAGCCAGGTGATCTGGCTTGGCTGGTCCCACCCCCACAAAGACCAGCAATCTGAAACGCTCTGGATTGAGAGTTTCATAGCAAGCACAGCTGGACCGTCCCACGGGAAGGGTGTCCACCATTACCGAGACAGTCCACCACTACTAAGGCAGTCCACCATTACTGAGGCAATCTGCCATTACCAAGGCAGTCTGCCATTACACAGACAGTCTGCCATTACTGAGGCATACAGCCATTACTGAGGCAGTTCTAACTATAACTCTATAAACAAAACTGCAAGGAAATTCACACAGCAGCTCAGCAATGTCTCTGCTGGCAGACTGTGAGGAGGCTACCTCCTCACTGGGCATGGCATCTCTGAAAAAAGGCAGCAGAATGACAGGAACTTATAAATAAAGCCCCACCTTCCCAGGACAGAGCACCTGGGAAAACAAGGTGGTTAAGAGTTCCACAGCAGCAGCTTAAACATACCTGCTCCAAAGCTCTGAACAGAACAATGGAGCTCATAGCTCAGCACTTGAACTCCTATAAGGTACAGACTGTTTCCTCAAGCAGCTCCCTGACCCCTGTATAACCAAAGAGATACCTCATAAAGGAGACCTCAGGCTGACATCTGGAGGGTATCCTTCTGGGACAAAGATAATGGAAGAAGAAACTGGCAGCAACCCTTACTGTTCAACAGCCACTGCAGGTGTTCCCCAGGAAAGCAGGGTCTGGAGTGGACCTCCAGCAGTCCTACATCAGCAGGGGCTCACTGTTAGAAAGAGGACTAAGAAACAGAAATAACTTCATCAGCAACAAAAAGGATGTCCACTCAGACACCCCATCTGAAAGTCACCAACCACAAAGACCACAGGAAGACAGATCCACAAAGATGGGAAGAAACCAGTGCAAAAAGGATGAAAACACCCAAAACCAGAACGTCTCTACTCCTCCAAGGGAACACAACTTCTCACCAGCAAGGGAACAAGGCTGGATGGAGAATGAGTCTGATGAATTGACAGAAACAGGCTTCAGAAGGTGGGTAATAACAAACTTCTCTGAGTTAAAAGATCATGTTCTAACCCAATGCAAAGAAACTAAGAACCTTGAAAAAAGGTTTGGCAAAATGCTAACGAGAATAAGCAGCTTAGAGAGGAATATAAATGAATTGATGGAGCTGAAAAACACCACACAAGAACTTCGCGAAGCATACACAAGTTTCACTAGCCAAATTGACCAAACAGAAGAAAGGATATCAGAGAATGAAGATCAACTCAATGAAATAAAATGAGAAGGCAAGTTTAGAGAAAAAAGAGTAAAAAGAAATGAACAAAGCCTTCAAGAAATATGGGATTATGTGAAAAGACCTAACCTACATTTGATAGGTGTACCTGAATGTGATGGAGAGAATGAATCGAAGCTGGAAAACACTCTTCAGAATATTTTCCGGGAGAACTTCCCCAACCTAGCAAGGCAGGCCAACATTCAAGTCCAGGAAACACAGAGAATACCACAAAGATATTCCTCAGGAAGAGCAACCACAAGGCACATGATCATCAGATTCACCAGGGTTGAAATGAAGGAAAAAATGCTAAGGGCAGCCAAAGAGAAAGGTCAGGTTACTTACAAAGGGAAGCCCATCAAACTCACAACAGATCTCTCTGCAGAAACCCAATAAGCCAGAAGAGAGTGCGGGCCAATATTCAATATCCTTAAAGAAAAGAACTTTCAACCTAGAATTTCATATCCACCCAAACTAAGCTTCATAAGCGAAAGAGAAATAAAATCCTTTATGAACAAACAATTGCTCAGAGATTTCATCACCACCAGGCCTGCTTTATAAGAGCTCCTGAAAGAAGCACTAAACATAGAAAGGAACAACCAGTACCAGCCACTCCAAAAATGTACCAAATGGTAAAGAGCATCAACACAGTGAAGAAACTGCATCAACTAATGGGCAAAACAACCAGTTAGCATCAAAATGGCAGGATCAAATTCACACATAACAATATTAACCTTAAATGTAAATGGGCTAAATGCCCCAATCAAAAGACAAAGACTGGAAAACTGGATAAAAAGTCAATACCCATCAGTGTGCTATATCTAGGAAACCTATCTCACATGCAAGGATACACATAGGCTCAAAATAAAGGAATGGAGGAAGATCTGCCAAGCAAATGGAGAGCAAAAAAAAAAGCAGGAGTTGCAATCCTAGTCCCTGATAAAATAGACTTTAAACTAACAAAGATCAAAAGAGACAAAGAAGAGCATTACATAATGGTAAAAGGATCAATGCAACAAGAAGAGCTAATGATCCTAAATATATTCACACCCAATACAGGAGCACCCAGACACATAAAGCGAATTCTTAATGGCCTACAAAGAGACTTAGATTCCCACACACTAATAGTGGGGCAATTTAACACTCCACTGTCAATATTAGACAGATGAATGAGACAGATTAACAAGGATATCTAAGACTTGAATTCAAGCCTAAACCAGGAAGAAGTCAAAACCCTGTATAGACCAATAACAAGGGCTGAAGTTGAGACAGCAATTAATAGCCTACCAACCAAAAAAAGCCCAGGTCCAGATGAATTCACAGCCGAATTCTACCAGACATACAAAGAGGAGCTGATACCACTCCTTTGGAAATTATTTCAAACAATCCAAAAAGAGGGCATCCTCATCAAACCATTTTATGAGACCAACATCATCCTATTACCAAAACCCAACAGAGAAATAAAACTTTCAACAAGAAAATAAAACTTCAGGCCAATATCCATGATGAACATAGATGCAAAATCTTCAATAAAAAACTGGCAACCAATTGCAACAGCACATCAAAAAGCTTATCCACCACAATTAAGTAGGCTTCATCGTGGAGATGCAAGGCTGTTCAACATACATGAGTCTATAAACGTAATTCACCACGTAAACAGAACCAAAGACAAAACCACATGATTACATCAATTGACGCAGAGAAGGCCTTCGACAAAATTCAACAGCCTTTTATGCTAAAAACTCTCAATAAGCTAGGTATTTAAAAAATGTATCTCAAAATAATAAAAGCTATTTATGATAAACCCACAGCTAATATCATACTGAATCGGCAAAAACTGGAAGCATTCCCTTTGAAATCTGACACTAGACAAGGATGCCCTCTCTCACCACTCCTATTCAATACAGTATTGGAAGTTCTGGCCAGAGCAATCAGGCAAGAAAAAGAAATAAAGGGTATTCAATTAGGAAAGGAGGAAGTCAAATTATCTCTATTTGCAGATGACATGATTGTATATTTAGACCCCATCGTCTAAGCCCCAAATCTCCTGAAAGTGATAAGCAACTTCAGCAAAGTCTCAGGATACAAAATCAATGTGCAAAAATCACAAGCGTTCCTATACACCAATAACAGACTTAAAGAGAGCCAAATCAAGAACAAACTGTCATTCACAATTGCTACAAAGAGAATAAAATACCTAGGAATACAACTAACAAAGGATGTAAAGAGGGATCTGTGGGGATTGCTCCTGTGTGAGGCCCCTAGGAAATGGGCCTCGCCATACGGTGAGCTTGAGCCCGGACACAGATCCCCGGTTGGGGGAGTTGAGCTGAGGGAAAGCAGAAACCGAGAGAGGGACTATCCTATTCAAAATAATTAACAGACATTACTTTATGGATATGAGAACTTGGGAGGCATTGTGTCCACTTTTGGCTCCTTATGGTTTATTGCTTGATTGTGTTCATTTTATACCCTTGTTACCTTCATTGTAAAATATTAACAAGTATTTACACTTGGTAACTTACTTACCATAACTTACTGGGTGTAACTGTAACTTACTTACCACAACTTACTGGGCATAACTGTAACTTGCTTATCTTGTGACTAAACTTAAGTATTTACAATTGTTAAGTACTTACTGGGCGTAACTTACTTGCTGGGCGTAACTTACTTACTGTAACTTACTGGGTATAACTGACTTACCATAACTTACTGGGCATAACTGACTTACTGGGCTTAACTTACTTACTGGGTGTAACTTAGTGGGCATAACTTGCTTACTGTAACTTAAGTATGTAGATCTGGCGTAAACAACATTAACTTCAGAAAAGTATATAATGGAACATATTGCAAAAATAAAATTGCTGCTTGGGCATAGCCTAAGCCAGCCCTCCAGACTCTGCTTTTCTTTTTTCTTTCACTTCCATGAACTCTCTCCCTCAGGTTGAATGAGACATCTACGTTGGCGGTCTTGGACACTCCTGCAGGTTGGTAGCCCCCCGGCAGACATGCCGGACCCCAACAAAAGACATCTTCAAGGAGTACCACAAACCACTGCTCAATGAAATAAGAGAGGACACGAACAGATGGAGAAACATCCCATGTTCATGGTTAGGAAGAATCAATGTTGTGAAAATGGCCATACTGCCCATAGTAATTTACAGATTCAATGCTACCCCCATCAAGCTACCAATAAACTTCTTCACAGAACTGGAAAAAAACACCTTAAACTTCATATGGAACCAAAAGAGAGCCTGCATAGCCAAGTCAATTCTAAGCAAAAAGAACAAAGCCGGAGGCATCACCCTACCTGTCTTCAAACTATACTACAAGGTTACGGTAATCAAAACAGCATGGTTCTGGTACCAAAACAGAGATACAGAACAATGGAACAGAACTGAGGCCATGGAGGCAGTGCCACACATCTACAACCATGTGATCTTTGACAAACCTGACAAAAACAAGCAATGGGAAAAGGATTCCCTGTTTAATAAATTGTGTTGGGAAAACTGGCTAGCTATGTACAGAAAGCAGAAACTGGACCCCTTCCTCACACCTTACACTAAAATTAACTCCAGATGGATTAAAGACCTAAACATAAGACCTCACATGATAAAAACCTTAGAAGAAAACCTAGGCAAAACCATTCAGACCACAGGCATAGGCAAAGACTTCATGACTAAAACACCAAAAGCATTGGCAACAAAAGCCAAAATAGACAAATGGGATCTAATTAAACTCTACAGCTTCTGCACAGCAAAAGAAACAATCATTAGAGTGAACTGGCAACCAACAGAATAAGGACTTATAACCAAAATCTACAAAGAACTAAAACAGATATATGAGAAAAAAAAACAAACCCATTCAAAAATGAGTGAAGGATACGAACAGCCACTTTTCAAAAGAAGGCAGAAATGAGGCCAACAAACATGAAAAATGCTCATCATCACTGGTCATTAAAGAAATACAAATCAAAACTACATTGAGACACCATCTCATGCCAGTTAGAATAGCAATCATTAAAAAAATCTGGAGACAACAGATGCTGGAGAGGATGTGGAGAAATAGGAACACTTTTACACTGTTGGTGGGAGTGTAAATTAGTTCAACCGTTGTGAAAGACAGTGTGGTGATTCCTCAAGGACCTTGAAATAGAAATTCCATTTGACCCAGCAATCCCATTACTGGGTGTATATCCAAAGTATTATAAATCATTCTATTATAAGAACACATGCACACATATATTCACTGCAGCCCTGTTTACAATGGCAAAGACTTGGAACCAACCCAAATGCCCATTGATAATAGACTGGTCAGGGAAAATGTGGCACATATACACCATGGAACACTATGCAGCCATAAAAAAACAATGAGTTTGTGTCCTTTGTAGAGACATGGATGAACATGGAAACCATCATTCTCAGCAAACTGACACAGGAACAGAGAATCAAGCACCTCATGTTCTCACTGATAGGTGGGTGTTGAACAATGAGAACACTAAGGTCTGTTGGTGGGGGACTATGGGAGGGATAGTGAAGGGTAGTGAGTTGGGGAGGGATATCATGGGGAGAAATTCCAGATATAGGTGATGGGGATGGAGGCAGCAAACCACATTGCCATGTATGTACCTATGCAACAATCCTACATGTTCTTTACATGTATCCCATAACCTAAAATGCAATTTTACATATATATATATGGATGGATTAAAGATTTAAAAGTAAGACTGCAAATCTAAGAATCCTAGAAGAAAACCTAGGAAATGCCATTCTGGACATCAGCCTTGGGAAAGAATTTATGACTAAGTCCTTAAAAGCAATCTCAACAAAAATGAAAATTGACAAATGGGACCTAATTAAAGAGCTCTTCACAGTAAAATAAATTATCAACAGTAAATAGCCTACAGAATGGGAAAAAAAATACTTGCAAACTTCATCCAGCAAAAATCTGATATCCAGAATTTATAAGGAACTCAAACAATTCAACAAGCAAAAAAAATTCCATTACAATTTGGTCAAAACACATGACATATCTCAAAAGAAGACACAGAAGCAGCCAGCAAACATGAAAAAATGTGAAAGATCACTAATCATCAGAGAAATGCAAATAAAAGCACAGTGGGAACCATCTTAACACCAGTCAGAATGGTTGTTATTTAAAAGTCAAACAATAAGAGATGCTGGTGAGGCTGAGGAGCAAAAGGAATGCTTATACACAGTTCAGCAACTGTGGAAAGCAGTTTGGTGATTTCTCAAAGAACTGCCATTAAACCCAGCAATCCCACTACTGGGTATGTATGCAGAGAAAAATAAACCATTCTACCAAAAAGTTACATGCACTCATATATTCATCACAGCACTATACACAATAGCAAAAACATGGAATCAACCTAGATGTGCATCAGGGGTGGAATGGATAAAGGAAACATGGTAAATATGCACCGTGGAATACAGGTGGGCGCCACCACTCTTGGCTAATATTTTTGTAGTTTTTGCAGAGGTGAGTTCTTGCTATATTACCCAGCCTGGTCTCAAATTCCTGGGTTGAAGCAATCTGTCCACCATGGCCTCCCAAAGGGCTGTGATTACAGGAATAAGCCAATGCCTCTGGTCAAATTATATATTCTTTATGTTGTTTATAAATTTAAATAAATGCCAAAACCACAGTGTATTTTTATTACACATATTTAATTTCCTCTTATACTAAGTAGCAAAGCTCAGGAGAAGGATCTCTTTAAGAAGTCTTGGACATACAGAGATTTCAGGGCACCATCAGTTACTGACTCAGGATAGTAAGTATCCCAAATGGAGCGAGGCCTCCACTAAACCTTGACTTCTTTATTTCTAGAGTGTCTCTGTCACATAGTCTCATATTTACTGTGATCCCCGTTTTATGGCTGTCCATTATTAGGTATAACTCAACCTCAAAATCATCATCATTAACAGTCCTTTCCTGCTTCTTACTGCTGGTTACTACTCCAAAGTTTTTATACTTAGTCTGTATTTCTTCGCTTACCCATATGTATCACTTTGCCACTGCAAAACTTTCAGACAATATCTCCTTGCTCTCAAATATTGTCCCTTCTACACATCTTGATTTGCTTTGCATTTTTTCAGTGACCTTCATCAGTCTTCTTGCTAACCACTTCCCTTTCCTACATGCAGAAGCCCTGTTACCCGCATTCTAAAATAGTTGACTCATAAATCTGAATTGTACTCATTGAATTTATATTCTTCATTGGACAGTTCATCTACTTGTAGCTACAGATGGTGATTCCAGAAGCAAATACAGAAATATACACCCAAAGCAAGACACACGAAGAAAGGGAAACACACAGAGACATTCCTGGCAGACCCAAATGAAAACTTTACAGAAGCTGAAGGAGAAATTGGGTACATTCCACGATTAAGAAACAAGTCAAACTCAATGACTCCAACACGAACTTTATCTAGAATTTAGTACATAAGCAGCATCAGAGGCTCCTCTGAACGCAGAAAGCCTTGAAGCATGGTCCACATGGGGGAGGCTTTACTCCAAATGCAGACTTCACTCAGCATCAAAGAAAGCACTCTAAGCCCATCCATTGTATATGAAGAGCGTGGGAAGACTCTTAAATCAAACATTGGCCTTATTCATCAAATGGGAATCCAAAAGGAAAGAAAAATCCAAAATGTGATGGATGTGGAAAATCACTTAAAAATCAGTCTTCAGTCGACATTGGAGACTTTACACAGGTGAGAAACACTTGTTGAAAGGGCTTTACTCAGAATGCAAGAGTTTTTGATAATCTTAAAAAATCATTTGGAAGAGAAATGATTTTTGGAATCAGTGTAGTAGAACCTTGATTCATCAGTCTGCCTTGATTCAGCATCAGGTAGTTTATATGGCAGAGAATGCTTGTAAGTGCCACGACAGTGGGAAAGCTTCTTTATATAACGTATCCCTCTTTTGGCTTCAGGAGATCCACTAGAGGAAAAAATTCTTTAAATGTATTCAGTGTTGGCTTTCGGTTAGACAGCAGGCCACACAGAGCAGCAGAGATCCACTATAGGGAGAAATCCTGCAAATAGGACCAGCATAGGCAACCCAGCATCTGCACTAAGAATGCTCACTCAAAGGAGAAAGAAGATACCCAATAAGAAAGTAAGAGTCACAATGGGAACCTTCCTGGAAATGAGTTTCTGAAGGACAAGCTCTGTGAGCATAATGAAATTGAGACTAGTGACTCTGTAATTACTAAGTCTTGTGAAACATCAGAGCATGCACTCCTCAAGGGAGAAATACCTCGAAGGTACTGATTGTGGGAAGCACTTGAGCCCAGGACTTACCCAACATTAGAAAATGTATGCAGACCAATCCTGCAAATATGAAGAATGTAGGAAGACCTTAAGTGCAAACGCTAGCTGTTTTAGACATTAAAAAAGCACACACGCACTGGAGAGAGGCCAAATAAATGCAATGAATGTTAGAAAGCCTCCTGCCAGTTGTTAGCCCTTAACCAGCACCAGTTTTTCCATGCTGGAGAGGAGCACTATCATTGCAATGAGTAGGGCAAAGACTTCAGAACACAGGCCTGTTTTCCATCTCCGAGTACAAACCGGAGGAAAGGCCTTTTCAGTGTAAACTGTGTAGTAAGTTCAGTAAACTATATTTAAATTTGAGACTATTGTAAAACAGCCTAGTAAGCAATATTGATTAAAAGTCAGCAAAGATTTTATGATTGCTTCTAAAGTGGGAAATCTGCCTTTACTTTAAATAAATACCTTATCACCCAGATTATCGACCAAGAAATTGAATAAACTGGTGTCAGACGTCAAAGCCAGTTGTCTATAATGTATTATTGTAAATGCCATGTACTGTGAACGTATTATAACTAGGTACTAGCAGTGGATACTTCACACATGAAATGTTTTAGAGTGGAGGCAACTGAAGCTTAGTGGAGTGGCCATGTGTTCAAGGTCACTGTGACAGATTTCACAAATGCTATCTTGACCCAGTTTGAAAGTGATGGCTAACAACTCTTCAATTCCCCTTTGCAGGTCGTTTGCTAAGCCCCCATCCCAATCTCTTGACTTATTGGGCCCCCATTCTCTGAAGCCACAGTGCACACACCACAGCTGCCTCCATTAACAGGAGAATGTCCTCCCTCATTGTCTGAGGACAGGTACGAGACAACCAGGGACAGCACCTGTAACCCAGAGGCCATGAAATTAACCGGCCCAAGGGAGCCCCTGAAACAGCTAACTCCTCCTGCTTGCCATATATACACTGCCTTCTGCAGCTCCAGCTTGTCCCTGGGTCCTACTCTGTGTCGTTTTGCATGGCGGCTTCTCTCTTTTGGAGCTGTAAGTAACAAAGTTCTGCTTTTCATCATCAGCATGTCGTGTCCCTTCATCAAAGAATCTTAAATCTTATAAAACAGCCACTCGGTTATGAAGTGCCAGAGTGAGGTTCAGTCCTATATCAAAATCTCTTAGATTCAGACCCTTTCTCTTAAATAGGTGCTCTGCTTTTGTGTCGCCCTCTCTCCTCATGACTTCAAAATTAGCTGCTGCTGCAGCTCCCAACAGTGTTCCTTTTAGTGTTTGTGGAAGACACAGTTTACCACCTTCCCTATTTTTCTCCCTTTCTCCTTTCCGTTATTTATATACATATTCTCAATGCTTTTATTCAATCCTAGACGAAACTCAACAGTCTTCAAAGTGGGAGGAATTTCCTATAGGGCCCCTAAGAAGTCATGCAAAAAAACACCAGTTTTACCAAAAAATCAAAGTCTCTTTTCTACACACACACACACACACACACACAGCAGATGTTGTGGATGGGCCATGAGATCTTAGTGATCTATAAATTTCAAGACCCTGAGGACCTGTAACTCAGATTACCATCTGGCTCTTCCAAAGAAATCATTTGTGTTAAACAAAACTGCCTGGTGGATGCTTCTAGCACAGGTACATTTTACTATTTTGTTAATATGTTCATCTCGTTCACTTTGGGCATTGTTCACCTTGGGCATCTGCATTTCGACAAATACACAAAATGTTAATTTTCCTTTTTAGGGGACCAAGTCTCATTCTGTCATCCAGGCTTCAGTGCAGTGGTGCAATCATGGCTCACTGCAAGCCTCAACTTCCTGGCCTCAAGTGATCCTACCTCCTTGGCTTCCCAAAGTGCTGGGATTACAGGCATGCACCACTGCCCTTTAATTTTTCTTTTGCTGTTGTCTCTCTCTCTCTCTCTCTCTCTTTTTAACCATGAAAATTGCCAACATGCTACTGTCTTTTTCTAATCAAAGTAAGATAAGCTTATAATTTTTTATAGAACACTATGCCCTGAAAGGTTTATAATATTTAAAAAATCAAACAGCAAACGAGGTTTTATGATGAAAAGCAACAGATCTACTTTATCATCTGACACACTACCCAGTACTCCTGAGGGCTGCCTTTTCTATCCCTGCTTCTCATAATGGCCACCTCCACATCACTAAGCAATTTGGTTCTATTGCTTTCTTGTTTTTTTGTTTGTTTACTCTAAACAGTGCCTATTGAATATCTGCAATATTCTATTGGAATTTAAATCACAATCTTCAATGTATGATTATGTTACTATTCTCAGCTCCTATTTTTGTCTCCCTGGGAGGGAGGGCAGCTTAAATTTTTACTCACTTTTACTTTTTTAACTCACTTTTTAAAACAAGGTTTTATTCAAGTTGTATGCAGTTACATGGCTCAGTTTCTGCTTACCAGCATGGACCTATTGAAATAGTTTTCAGACTTTTTCTTAATCTGTTGCACATTCCTTCAAGACAGCTGAGAGATGACCTGCAAAAACCAAATGATATCAGTAGTTCATCAATTAGACACTATTTGTTTTTTTAAAAAAAAAACAGCTAGTTATGGACTCTCCGATCAGAGGTGTAGACAGGAAGCAAAACATTCCACTGTGTCCATGTGTACCCTGAGAGTTCTGCCTCTAGATCTATTTACCTGTGTTCTCACTATATGCTTCACTGTGTCCATGTGAACCCTGAGAGTTCTGCCTCTAGATCTATTTACCTGTGTTCTCACTATATGCTTCACTGTGCCCATGTGAACCCTGAGAGTTCTGCCTCTAGATCTATTTACCTGTGTTCTCACTATATGCTTCACTGTGCCCATGTGAACCCTGAGAGTTCTGCCTTTAGATACATTTACCTGTGTTCTCACTATAAGCTTCACTGTGTCCATGTGAACCCTGAGAGTTCTCCCTCTAGATCTATTTACCTGTGTTCTCACTATATGCTTCACTGTGTCCATGTGAACCCTGAGAGTTCTGCCTCTAGATCTAGTAACCTGTGTTCTCACTATGTGCTTCACTGTGCCCATGTGAACCCTGAGAGTTCTGCCTTTAGATACATTTACCTGTGTTCTCACTCTATGCTTTCTCTCAAGTCTCTGTGTTCTCAACTATATACTTTCTGAAGCTCACAGAATTCACATCATAAAACTTTGTGTTGCTTTCGGCTTCCAATTTCAAATCTGTAAATGAAATACTTCCTGCAGTCCTTTTCTCTTATTCCTTGAGTTCTGGATCTCAACATCTGCTTTTTTTCCCTTTTGATTTTAAGGGCAGTTAGAAGGCTTGCCAATATATCACAAGAAACTTTCTCCTTTTTAAATGTTAGAGTTATTTGGTTAGTAAAATGGCCAAAAAGCGTCAGTAATAACATTAGGCAAAAATTGTTTAAAATAAAGGTATTCTGGAGATCCATTTTTATCTGCTCTTTGTCTCTATATCCCTGTATTTCTCCAGAGTCAAAAGATGGAGAATGGTTTTACTCAGAGTTCTCTCTGTCTTAAGATCTCTTTGTGCTTAGATGCTCTTTTCTTGTGGCTACAGTGCACCTATGACAAAAAATTGACTGTTTTACCTATGTCCCTGGGAACTGCGGCAAGTCAGTCATCCTTGGTGCAAGCTGACTTTTTAAGTGAGATTTCCATATCAGCTTCTTGCAGTAAGTCATGCCAAGTGGAACTCGGAAAACACTGAGTTGTAAAAATCTTTCTAGATGCCTAGAAAAGAACCCAAAAGTGAGCTTGAGGTTCAGTTCCAGGTTGAATTCAAGTTGTCCAATAATTTCTCTGTGTCTGTTGTTTTCTGAGATGTTGTATGGCTTCACATAAGATTTGAGCCCTGGCAACGTATGAGGAGGGATCTCTCTCCCTTCTCCCCAGATGCCCTGAAAGAAGAGTCTACAAAAGGGCACTCCAGAAATCTGTCCTAGGCTGTCTTTTAGCACCACACACTTCGTGAGCTATCTTAATCATTTTAACAATTACTGAAAGGTAGAAGGCTCCAAAATATGGATCTCAAGCTAACTCTTTTCTCATGACTCCTAGACCCACAAATCCCTAAACCAATCCATTAACAAATAGCAACATCGACAGTGTGATGCTTTCCAGGATTTCAAGCTTAACGTGACCAAGCTGAGCTCATACATTTCTTCTCAACATGCTACCTGTCATTTAGTGTCCCTGGTCTTGGTGGAGGGACCACCATCCTCTGATGATGCCAGGCTTTTTTTGGTTCTCTTAACCCCCACATAGTCAATGATGAAGCCCTGATCCATTTATCCTGCTGAGTATTTCTCAATTTCATTCCCTCATATTTCGCATTTTAAAAGTCAGGTCTCCCCTGATCCCATTTAATTTTGTGTGTACATCACTTCATATTTTTGTCAAAGTATCTTTGAGATGGATTTCTAGAAGTGATCGCAGGAACAAAGGGTAAACTTATATACATAATTTTGCTGTATAGTATTATTTTTCCCACCTATGGGTCACACCGTTTTGCATTCCCACTGGAATATGTTAAGAGTTTCCCCTTCCTCATGAGTAGAATGTACTGTCAAACTTTTGGACCATTGCCAATCTAATGGCCAATGGTACCTCACTCAGCATAGTTTTTAATTTGTATGTTCATATTTTGCGTGAAGTTGAACATTTTTTACAGATGTTTGGGGGCTGCTAGCATTTTTATTCTGTCAACTATCTTCTGGTCATTTTCTCTATATGTTGCAAACCTTTTTCTTTACTTGTGGTGTTTTTTTGGACAAACAATACATTTTAATTTCATGTAGTCAGATTTGTTACTTGTAAGGCTTTTGGATTCTGAGTCATATTATTAGATGTTTCCCCTTCCCAGTGTTAGAACTATTATTCATGTTTTCTTCTAATACATGTATAGGTGGATTTTTTACATTTAGATCTCAGATCCATTTAGAATTTATGTCGATTGCAATGTGTGGTGGAAAATAGAAATCCAGTTTAGCTTTGCCAAATGGTTGTCATCCCAGTACAACTTCTAAGTGATTCATTTTCCCATTTATATGTGATGTCACCTTCATCACTCACTGAATATCCTTATATACCTGGATCTATTTCTGGTATATTCTTTGTCTATTAATTAACTAAAATAATATGTGTATGTTCCAGTATCTGAAAAGGCTGTCCCTCACCATTGTTCTTTTTCATGGGTTTCCTGTCTATTCTTACTTATGTCCCCACTTGAACTTCATAATCAAGTTATCTAATTACAGAACGATATTGGTTGATATTTTTGTTGGAATACTATAGTTGCATACATATTTAGGGAGGACTGACCTCTTTGAGTCTTTCCAAGAACAGCATATTGCTTTCTGTTTGTTTAATATACAGTTGGCCATTTAGGAGTGTTTTAAAGCTTCCCCCGGAGAAGTTTTGCTCATTTCTTGTTTATTCCTATTTTCACTTTTTTTGTTGCTATTGTAAATATGGAATTCTCTTCCATTCTATCTCGTAACTCGTTATCATTGACTATTCACATATATGAAGGGCGTTGATTTTAGTGTGTTAATTTTATATCTTGCTAATTTACTAAATTATTCTTTTTATATAGCTTTTCCATTGAACTGGGCTTTCTGGTGTATAATGTATCATAAGTGCATAAAAAAGAGCATCAAGAGAATCGTGGGTGGCGAAATCGCCAGCAGAAACCAGTAGGCTGGCCCTCTGGAAGTGTGTGTGGCAGGAGTCCCTTCGGCACCACCAAGCGTGGAGTCGGGAAGCACCTCCGGACCCAAAGCGAATGGAGACGCAAGGGGTTTCCCAGTCTTCAGTTCTTTGGCTGGGAACTAGCAACCCTGCAAATCAGTCCCCCCGTCGGGTCGGGGGAAGTGTGGACAATGGCTGGGTAAAGAAAAGGAGGAAGATAAACCCATACCTCTTACCCGCGGGCCTGAGAGCGCTCAGCTTCGCTCTAGCGAGGGCGCGCGGAAACACTACTGAGGCGAAAGCCCCTCCGGCCCCCTTCCGGGAGCGACTGCGGAAGTGCGCCCCCCCCCCCCGCGGCCGCTTCCGGCCTTTGTGGATCACTTTTGATGGGTTCCGCTTCCGGAAAGGGTTGGAGGCCTCCGCCCTTCGCTCGCTAGGAGGGAGTCCTGTGCTGGCGCCGGCGGCCGCAGGTGAGCAGTGTTGTCCTTTGTGCGGGGCGAGCAGGTGGGCGGGAGATTGCCGTATTCCCGCCGGTGGGCCCCTCAGGCTCTGGCTGGTGTAGAGGGCACCCCAGTCCTCCCAATCCCAGGCGGATCCGCGGGAAGCTCTCCCTCCCCAAAGTGCGTTGGGACCCTTTGGGGATGAGGGGTCGGCTCCCAGTGTCTGCGGCAATTCCCGGCTGTAAGGCTCATACCTTCCAGGTTTGCCTCGGGCTGTGTATCCTTGGGGTCAGCGCTTGCCGACGTTCCTGGACAGTGGCGAGTCGCCCACGCTGGCCTGCGTCCTAGGGACCCTTTCCTGGGCCTGCCTCACTTCAGATTATAATCACAGACCGTGAGGGTGGAGGGATGCCTTAAAGAGTAACCTCTCGCTTTATAAATGAAGAATGAGCAGAAAGATTAAGTCCCTGAGGAAATACATTTGCATTACTTTGTTGCTTTTATGATTTCATTGTTTCCAGCAGACATCTGGACATTTAAAAGATAAAAGTAACTAATCAAGGGTGTCCCAACCTTTCATCATTATTATTTACTTATTCTGAATGTTAGTTTTATTCTATTTGTCTTTCATTTAGGACCAAATGAGAATAAGTTTACTAACAAGTCTTACTCTTCTTAAAGTCCTGAAACAACTCGGCGCCTTTCCTCAGTCTTTCTCTTTAAATTGGTCAAATTTTAAGTCTTTTCTATCCTGAAACAACTCGGCGCCTTTCCTCAGTCTTTCTCTTTAAATTGGTCAAATTTTAAGTCTTTTCTATCCTGAAACAACTCGGCGCCTTTCCTCAGTCTTTCTCTTTAAATTGGTCAAATTTTAAGTCTTTTCTATCCTGAAACAACTCGGCGCCTTTCCTCAGTCTTTCTCTTTAAATTGGTCAAATTTTAAGTCTTTTCTATCCTGAAACAACTCGGCGCCTTTCCTCAGTCTTTCTCTTTAAATTGGTCAAATTTTAAGTCTTTTCTATCCTGAAACAACTCGGCGCCTTTCCTCAGTCTTTCTCTTTAAATTGGTCAAGTCTTAAGTCTTTTCTATCCTGAAACAACTCGACACCTTTCCTCAGTCTTTCTCTTTAAATTGGTCAAATCTTAAGTCTTTTCTATCCTGAAACAACTCGGCGCCTTTCCTCAGTCTTTCTCTTTAAATTGGTCAAATCTTAAGTCTTTTCTATCAGAGTATTTTTCTGAGTATGGTACATTAATCTGGAGGCCGGCTTTCCAAGTTCTCAGCACTTGCAGTTCTCCTTTATGGTGTAGCTTGTATTAATAATAATGTCTTACTCCTCAGGATGGTCCAGGAAGAAATTTTCCAGGGAGATCTTACTTGAAACACCAATAGTTCTTGCACAGCTAAAATGGCATCCACTTGGGCTATCCAGGCCCACATGGACCAGGATGAACCTTTGGAAGTAAAGATAGAGGAGGAGGAGAAGTATACCACCAGACGGGACTGGAACCTGCATAAAAACAGCAGCCATAGCAGAGAGGTCTTCCGTCAGTACTTCAGACAGTTGTGCTACCAGGAGACATCTGGTCCCCGTGAGGCTCTGAGCCGACTCCGAGAGCTTTGCCATCAGTGGCTGAGGCCAGAGACCCACACCAAAGAACAGATCCTGGAGCTGCTGGTGCTGGAGCAGTTCCTGACCATCCTACCTGAGGAGCTCCAGGCCTGGGTGCAGGGGCAGCATCCAGAGAGTGGGGAGGACGTGGTGACTGTGCTGGAGGATTTAGAGAGAGAGCTGGATGAGCCCGGAGACAGGGTGAGAAAGAAACGATGTGACTTCTGCTTGAGAAAAGATAAATTGTGGATTTCTGTGCCAGAGTGAAGAAGAGCCATTTTTTCCACAAAGCATGTTCTTGACAGTTTGATGCACCAGAAAGGGGCATGAGTTTCATGGAAAATTGGCTAATGCGCTAAACTTATTTGTAACTTTTCTGTGGAAGGATTTTATATTTCTTTACTAAGTTACAAAATTCTGTTTGATAAACATACTGCTCATCTTAGAAGACTTCTAAGGCCAGGTATCAGATGAAAGCAGCAGGATGGGAGCAGCCTCTTGAAAGGGCATCCCTCTATTGCACAATACAAATAATTAAGAATTAAGGTTTTGCAGATATTTGCATTGCTCTGACTCTATTACAAGATGTTAAAATGGAGAAATTAAGTATTTCAGGGATTGAGATATGGGAGTACAATGGAAAGTTAGTGAGGAGAGCAGGGCAGGGATCCATGCTGCTTTGAGTAGTAGAAAGCCCAGTTAGATTAGAAAGGGGAATTCTGAGTAGAAGAGTTGAGATAGCGTCCAGGACCTTGAATCTCAACCTTTGGAATTGAGATTTTATTCTGTAGGACAGACGCCCCGCCAACCTTTTCTCCTTGAGTCTAAATGAGCTTCACTAATTGTAAGATGTAAAAGAGAATCAAATTATGCAGAACTTTTTTGTTTTCTTTTTAACAATAAAATAAGACAGTGTTTCTCAACCAGTGCCGATTTTGTGCCCCGGAGGGCATTTGGCAATGTCTTGGGACATTTTTGGTTGTTACAACTCAGGGAGGTGCTGCTAGCATCTAGTGGGTAGAGAGGGCAAGGCTGGTGCTAAACATCTTACAATACACAGAACAGCCTCAGACGAAGAGTTATCTGAACCAACATGTCAGTAGAGGCAACACTAGGAAACCCTGTTATAAAGAGTTGGAAACTTAGTGAAACGATAAAACAGAGGTATCATCTAGCACTGTGATAGAAAAGACAATAAAGAGGGTAGGCACTAGGAAACCCTGTTATAAAGAGTTTGAAACTTGGTGAAATGATAAAACAGAAGTATCATCTAGCACTGTGATACAAAAGACAATAAAGAGGGTAGGAACATGGCAAAAAGATCTTAGTTTGAAACAGGATCATGAGGCCGGGTGCGGTGGCTCATGCCTATAATCCTCACACTTGGGGAGGCCAAGGCGAGTGGATTACCTGAAGTCACAAGTTGAAGACCACCCTAAAAATACAAAAGTAAGCCAGGCGTGGTGGCACGTGCCTGTAATCCCAGCTACTTGGGAGGCTGAGGCAGGAGAATCACTTGAACCCAGGAGGCAGAGGTTGCAATGAGCCAAGACTGTGCCATTGTACTCCAGCCTGGGCAACAAAGTGAGACTCTGTCTCAAAACAAAAACAAAGAAAGAAATAGGATCATGAAAGTGTGATTACCAAGGATGAGGCTTATCTTAGGTAAGAATTGTTTGGAAGTGATGACAGATCTATTAAGTAAAGAAGGAAGAACCAATGGAGAAATCTTTACAGAGCAATCTAAGCTAAACACTAGGGATTTCAAGCTTGAAAGACTAGTATAACGGCTTCTGGGGGCGCTACGGGGAAAACAGTTGGGTGGGTGGAGGGATAACATGGGGAGAAATGCCAGGTATAGGTGATGAGGGGATGGAGGCAACAAAACACCTTGCCATGTATGTACCTGTGCAACAATCCTGCATGATCAGCACGTGTACCCCAGAATATGAAGTACAACAATAATAATAATAAATAAAATAAAAAAGCGCTAGTATAATGGAGACATTCCTAACAAAGACTGTAGGCAATTACTAAGTACATACTTACTGAATATCTGTTTGGACTAGGTCCTATTTAGGGCACCGTGAATGTAACAGCGAACAAAGCATGGGAGGTTGCAGCTGTCATGTAGATTCTACTCTACTGAGGAGAGACAGATAGTAAAGTAAAAATCGACAAACCAGCCTGGGCAATATAGTGAGACCCCCATCTCTATAAAAATACAAAAATTAGCCAAGCACTGTGGCAGGTGTCTGTAGTCCTAGCTACTTGGGAGGCTAAGGTGGAAGGATTGCTTGAGCCTAGGAAATTGAGGCTGCAGTGAACTGAGATCATGCCACTGCACTCCAGCCTGGGTGACACAGTGAGACCCTATCTCCAAAAAAAAATACAAGATATAAGTGACAGTCAAATGTGCTCAAACAACAATGATAAAAGCAGAGAAAAGGAATGGTGAAAGAAATGGGGACAGCCCTGTTTTTGGTAGTCTTGTCAGAGAAGGCTTTTCAGATAGGTGACATTTACAGGAGAAATCTGAATGGAAAGAGCAAGCCACACAGCTATCAAGGATGACAGCATTCAGGCAGAGGGTCAATTTTTTTTTTTTAGATGAAGTCTTGCTCTGTCACCAGGCTGGAGTGCAGTGGCACAATCTCAGCTCACTGCAGCCAAGTTCAGATGATTCTCCTGCCTCAGCCTCCCCAGTAGCTGGGACTACAGGTGCACACCACCATACCCAGCTAATTTTTTTGAGACAGTGTTTCACTATGTTGGTGAATAGAGACGGGGTTTCACCATGTTGGCCAGGATGGTAAGATTTCTTGACCTCATGATCTGCCTGCCTCAGCCTCCCGAAGTGTTGTGATTATCAGTGTGAGCCACCATGCCCTGCCAAGGCAGAGGATTTTAAAGTGAAAATGTACTTGTCATGGTAGAGATGTAGTATTTGTCAAACAGGAGATGAAATAAAATGGTTCTAAGATTGATTATATTGTGTCAGAACTTGTAGGCCATTGTAAGAATTTTGAATTCTGAGATGGACAGTCATTGGAGAGTTTTTAAATAGAAGAGAGATATAATCTGACTTGAATTTTTAAATGATCACTCTGGCTACTATGTGAAAGTTCCACAGTGGGGCTGGGGTAGGCACAGGGGTCAAAGGCAGAAGCACGAAACCATTTCAGGAGCAATGATCATAAGCAATATTCCAGGCAAGAGATACTGGTGACTTGGTCTAGAGTAGTAGCAGTGGAAGTGGTAAAATGTGATTGGATTCTGGATTTATTTTGAAGGAAGAGCTTGAGAGGATTCATTTTTATATAAAATGTGGGATATGAGAGAAAGTAAAGGATTATGCCCATTTTTTTGGTCTGAACATCAGATAGAATGGATTTGTCATTCATAGAGATGGTAAAGACTGGGAGAGAAGTGGGTTTGGGATGGAGGGACAGGAATCAAGTTAGGGTTTGGGCCGGGCGCGGTGGCTGATGCATGTAATCCCAGCACTTGGGAGGCCGATGCGGATGGATCACCTGAGGTCAGGAGTTCAAGACCAGCTGGGCCAACATGGTGAAAGCTTGTCTCTATTAAAAATACAAAAATTAGCTGGGTGTGGTGCCAGATGCCTATAATCCCAGCTACTCCGGAGGCTGAGGCAGGAGAATCCGTTAAACCTAGGAGGCGGAGGTTGCTGTGAGCCAAGATCTCACCACTGCACTCCAGCCTGAGCAACAGAGTGAGACTCTGCCTCAGAAAAAAAGTTAGCGTTTGCACATGTTAATTTTGAGATTCCTATTAGAATTCAAGCAGAAAAGGTGAGAAAACAACTGGATATAATGAACTGGAATTCAGTGGCAGGGTCTGTGCTAGAAATACAGAATTGGGACTTTTCGGAATATACATAGTATTTAAAGCCATGAGATAGGATGAGGTCATGAAAGAAGTAACCACCAGCAGAAACAGAGCAGCTTGGGAGGCACAGAGAGAACCAGAGCAGCCAGGGAGGCGCAGAGAGAAGCAGAGCAGCCAGGGAGGCACAGAGAGAAGCAGAGCAGCCAGGGAGGCGCAGAGAGAAGCAGAGCAGCCAGGGAGGCGCAGAGAGAAGCAGAGCAGCCAGGGAGGCGCAGAGAGAAGCAGAGCAGCCAGGGAGGCGCAGAGAGAAGCAGAGCAGCCAGGGAGGCGCAGAGAGAAGCAGAGCAGCCAGGGAGGCGCAGAGAGAAGCAGAGCAGCCAGGGAGGCGCAGAGAGAAGCAGAGCAGCCAGGGAGGCGCAGAGAGAAGCAGAGAAGCCAGGGAGGCGCAGAGAGAACCATAGAAAGAACGGGATGCTCGGGAGGCACAGAGAGAACCAGAGAAAGAACGGGATTCTTCGGTGCTGGCAAAGTCAGTTGGTTTTAAATGTGTCGAATTTGTATTGCCAATCAGCTCATTCCCTGAAAGCATTGCAGGAGGCATCTAATGGAGTTTACAGCTTGATTTCTGAGGCCTGACCAGAGATCCAGGAATAGAAGGCACAGCTCACTGTACTGGCATTTCCCCCCCCCACTTCCTTTTTGCAAAATGTGAGATATCAAAACATCATTTTCTGTACATCTGAGATAGCATTCTGCTGATTCTGGCTTTTATTCTGAAAACTGAGACTACAAAATGAAACTGTATCAGGGAAATAGAGGCAGTGTATATGGTGATTTTTTATTTATAAAGTTTAACCTTTGAAGATAATAAGGAAGTAATTTGAGAGTCCGTTGTATGACAAGCAAGGTGCTTTATACAAATGACATTTACTATCTCGGAGACAGTAAGTAATGGGCCCAAGGTCACAGAGCCACTAAAGAAAGAGAGAGAGTAAGTAATGGGCCCAGGGTCACAGAGCCACTAAAGAAAGAGAGAGTAAGTAATGGGCCCAAGGTCACAGAGCCACTGAACTAAGAGAGAGAGTAAGTAACGGGCCCAGGGTCAGAGAGCCACTAAAGAAAGAGAGAGAGTAAGTAATCCATGTGATTCCAAATCCCTGCTTTTTACAAGACCATGCTGGGGAAACCTGTTACTTTTAAATGCAAGAGGAAATAGGCCCATGGAAGCATGGGAGCCACCCAGTGGCTGAAATTGCTGAATAAATGAGTTAGTTCACTGAGGGAGCAAGGGTCAGGGGAAGCCAAAAGTGATGGGACTAAAGGCAAAGTGGAGATGTAAGCATTGAAAAAGAGGAGACATCGTCCTCTAAAACAGAAGAAATGGAGAAGAGTATGAGGGTGGAATGGGGAAAATGAAGAGGAGATGATTTCTGAGCTGATTGTGATCTTGGATACATACAATATAAGATAATCTTCCTGGAGAGAAGTGGAACGGGTACCTCAGAAGGGCAGAGACTATTGGGAATAGCTTCTGGAATGAATATGGAGGAGAGTTCACCCCTTTCCTTCTTTTCCCTGTCTTTCTTCTCCCACCCTCTTTCTCCTAATCATTTGTTCCCTTGTACTTTTTTTTTTTTTTTTGAGATAGGGTCTCTTTGTCACCCAGGCTGGAGTGCAGTGCTGTAATTGTAGTTCACTGTAATGTTGAACTCCTGGACTCAAGCAATCCTCCTGCCTCAGTCTCCTGAGTTGTTAGGACCACAGGTGTGTGCCACCATGCTCAGATAATTTTTCATTTTGTTGGGGGAGATGCCTAGGCTGCTCTCAAACTCCTGGCCTTAAGCAATCCTCCCACCGTGGTGTCCCAAAGCTGCCTTTCTTTTTTATCATTTGTCTACATTATTTGCCTTTACATCTCCCCTTTCCTTTTCCTCTTTCTCTCTTAACGTTTTATTTCACCCTAAGTTCTATCTTCTTTCCTTTCTGCCTCATGTCACCTTCTTTTTCTTCTCTCCTTTGTTTTGTCTTACTCACTTTCCTTTCTCCACTTCTTTGAGCACAAGACAAAGAAATCAAAGTGACACAACCAACATACTTTACTGGTAACAACAGGAGAAATTACTTCCGGGTGGAGAAAAGAAGGGTCCCCAGAAAAGGTGACATTTACATTGGCCTTGAAGAATAGGTAGGGTTATGGCAGGCTTGTACTGAGAAAAAAGGTCATTTCAGGTCTCAGCCGCTGCCACAGATAGGACACTTTTTGTTTTCTGTTGTCAGAGTGAGTCTGTCAGCGATATCTCGTTTTCCTCAGGTCTTGCCTCACACTAAGGAACAGGAAATGTTCTTGCAGGAGATGGTATCTCTAGGAAAAGAAGGAGAAACCAGTATGTCCCTCCAGTCCATGAAAGCCCAGCTAAAGTATGAATCTCCGGAACTTGAATTCCAACAGAAGCAAGGTAAAGAAGAAAGACCCATCTTGGGAGGAAGGGGAAGATGGGTAGCACAAGACGTGGGGGCTTTTTTGTACTTGCTACTGTTTCTGATCATTAAAGTCAAAGAGGCTCTCTTGGAATCTAATGGCTCATACAGACTCCCAGACAGCCTCGTGTGTCACTCTTCAACTCTCTTTTTTCTATATTCATATTCTTCTGAATTCTGGCTTTAGCACTTAATTTATTCCTTCTGATATTTATCTCTCTTTATACTGACCTCCTTGCTATTTTCAGCCTTTGCCCCATCAGACAATACCTCTGTTTTCCACTTGCACTAAATCCTTTCTCCTTCATTAAATAAGCCTTTGCTCCATTACATTCACAACTGTCAGATGATTCACACACAAAAGAATTGTATACTTACAAAGAAAAGGAATAATAAAATAAATGTTGCAAAACATTAAAAGTTGGTGAATGTGTGAAAGACCCTCTGTCTTATTTCTATTTTCTCAATATTTTTTCATTTTGATTTAATTTTTTAAATAGATAAAAATGTACATGGCTCAAAAACAAAACATTTTTAAGTTATTTAATGAAAAGTTTCTATTCTACCCAATTTTCCTAGCCACCTAGCCTCCTGCCCCTACTCGGAAATAAGTTGTCACTGATACTAATTTTTGTGTGTTCCTCCACATATTTTTTGATGCATATGTTTTCCATATTAAAAATATATATTTTCCTCTATCACTAAGATGGTAGAGTCTTGCGTTTTTTATTTTTTAGCAGTTGCTTAATATTAAAATGTATAGATACATTTTAAAGATATAAAAGGTAACATTCATGATCCCTTCTTAGCTTTAGATATTGAGACTGGAAATGAATGTGGGAATTTAAAGCAAGAAGTTTCTGAAGAAATGGAACCTCATGAGAGTACACCCAGTAAATCTGAACATGCTATGTCCCAGTCTGTTAGGTGTAGAGAAACTTATGAACCTGAAGAAATAACAGAAGAGCCCTCTGCACACTCCAGAGAAGTTAAACAACCTACCTGTGATGAAAATGGAGTAAGCCTGACTGAGAACTTGGACCGTACTGAACATCAGAGAATCTGTCCAGGAGAAAAATCTTACGGATGTGACGACTGTGGAAAAGCTTTTAGACAGCACTCACACCTCATAGAACATCAGAGGATCCATACTGGAGACAGACCCTACAAATGCGAAGAGTGTGGAAAAGCTTTCCGTGGGAGAACTGTGCTCATTCGACACAAAATAATCCACACTGGAGAGAAACCATATAAGTGTAACGAGTGTGGCAAAGTCTTTGGCCGGTGGTCAGCTCTTAACCAACATCAGAGACTTCACACGGGAGAAAAACACTATCACTGTAACGAATGTGGCAAAGCCTTTAGTCAGAAAGCAGGCCTCTTTCACCATATCAAGATCCACACAAGGGACAAACCTTATCAGTGTACTCAGTGTAATAAAAGCATTAGTCGGCGTTCCATACTTACTCAGCATCAAGGAGTTCATACCGGCGCAAAGCCCTATGAGTGCAACAAGTGTGGAAAAGCCTTTGTTTATAACTCATCCCTTGTTTCCCATCAGGAAATCCACCACAAAGAAAAATGCTATCAGTGTAAGGAATGTGGGAAATCCTTCAGTCAGAGTGGCCTTATTCAGCATCAGAGAATTCACACTGGGGGAAAACCCTACAAATGTGAGGTCTGTGAAAAAGCCTTTATTCAAAGGACAAGTCTCACAGAACATCAGCGAATTCACACTGGAGAAAGACCCTATAAATGTGATAAGTGTGGGAAGGCGTTTACTCAAAGATCGGTCCTCACAGAACATCAGAGAATCCACACTGGAGAAAGGCCCTACAAGTGTGATGAGTGTGGGAACGCCTTCCGAGGAATCACCAGCCTCATTCAGCATCAGAGAATCCACACTGGGGAGAAGCCCTACCAATGTGATGAGTGTGGAAAAGCCTTCAGACAGAGGTCAGATCTTAGTAAACACCAGAGAATCCATAATAGAGGTGGTCCCTATATATGTAAAGAGTGTGGGAAATCATTCAGGCAGAACTCAGCTCTTACTCAACATCAGACTATCCACAAAGGAGAAAAAGCTGTTTCCGTGCGATGACTACAGGGAAGTAATCACAGAGTTCAGGCTGGTGAGAAACACTATTTAGCTTTATAATACTTGGGGCAAAAGTTCAGCCACCATTGCTATAAGGAAACCTCAGATGTTTATAAGAATTCACTATGTGCTACCCATTGTATTAGGTGCTGTGGAGAGCGAGAAGATCACCCCAAACTCTTAAAGAGTTTATCGTTTGGAATAGGTAAGGTCCATGTATTTAGTTAAATAAGACTACGGGAGACTAAAATTGATGCTCAATGTCGACTCAAAGTGGCACTGTGTAGACTATAAGTGTTGTAAACTCTAAAGGACATGTTACTTTTTCTTAGAGTGGTCAGGAAAGATTTTTATTGAAAATAAGGATTTGATGGGCAGACTTAGCAGCCAAAAGGGAGAAAAACAGACAAAACAAATGTAAGCCAAAGTAAGACTGCATTGATCTGGAAGCATCGGGTAAAAGAGTAGCCAGCCTGAAGTAAAAGTTTCATGCAGATTGGGCAATCAATAGCATTAAGCTGGGAACAGCCTGGGGACAGACTCTAAGAAGGCCAGAGTGTGAATAATTTCATCTAATACTTTATAGGACTTTGACATTTACAGAGCACTTTTCTCATTTAATTCCTAAAATACCTCAGTAAATCAAAAGCATTATCCATTTAAAGAATGAGAATACTCTTGCCTGTGGAGATGGTGACACAGCTAGAATCCCACAAAAAGAAAAGAGGAGTAACCTAAGTGCAGGTCTCCTGACTTCTAGTCCTGGCCATTGCGCTAGTGAGCCTCCAACTTTGATGAACCTCAAAATCACCTGTGGAGCTTGTTTCACAGGCCTGAATCCCACTATTCTGCTTCATTAGGCCTGGGATGAGAGTCGAGAATCTTCATTTTTATAGCTTCCATTTTAAAGTTTACTTAATATACTTTAAAAATTTAAGAAACGTTGAGTTGAATGACAGCTCACTTCACGGTTGTCTGTGAAGTGGGGAAGCTTGAACATAGTCCTGTAAACTAAAGGCCATTGCACATTTTTAGCACAAGGAAATCCTTACAGGGAACATGTACCACCTCCTCTTTGGAGTGAACAGAGAATTAGACCACCATTGTGCCAAAAAACTAGGATTAGGGTTTAAGGTGGTCTTTCCATCCCTTCAAATTTAAGTATTCAGAGAAAAAGAGACAGGCCTACACTCCAAGGGTCTTCTGATTGCGAGCCCTTGTGTTGTTTATTTAGGGGATGGCTTGGTGCTCTTCTCTGCTTTGCTTTTTGCCTCCTTTTGTTTCCCAGATCTCATATTGCCATTACGTTCTGAGTTCCCTAATCATTGCTCTTGACGACTGATTTACTTTGAGCGCATAAAAGGACCCCAAATAAGAGATACTATCCCTTGGGCTTCTGAAAAATGAACCAACTGAAAACTGGTTGACTGTAACCTTGTATTGTTGAGTAAAAATTCTGCTTTGGACATGGCTCCTGATCTGTATTTTTTTTTTTTTTTTTTTTTTTTTGAGACGGAGTTCCACTCTTGTTGCCCAGGCTGGAGTGCAATGGCATGATCTCAGTTCACCACAACCTCCACCTTCTGGATTCAAGCAATTCTCCTGCCTCAGCCTCCCGAATAGCAGGGATTACAGGTACATGCCACCACACCTGGCTAATTTTGTATTTTTAGTAGAGATGGGGTTTCTCCATGTTGGTCAGGCTGGTCTTGAACTCCTGACATCAGGTGATCCATCCACCTCAGCCTCCCAAAGTGCTGGGATTCCAGATATGAGCCATCGCGCCCAGCCCTGATCTGTCTTTTTATTTACAGAAATCATTTTTAATCTCTACTGAGATGGCCTGTTATTTCCTTCCTTTTCTACCCTGCCACAGCAAACTCCACACTTTTCTGGGACTAACTTCCTACTACACCCAACGTAACTCCAGTCCTCTCTTCTCTTCACACTAGCTGCTCAATGGCTTTGAAGTGGTGAGAAGTTGACAAAAGGGGAAGGGGAGAAATCAAAGAAGGGTAATCTGCATTCTTCTTAGTTAAGGCCCACTCCTAATTACCTTTCTATGCAGCCCTTGGTCTTTGTCCCATCTTCTCTTCACTCCTTAATGTACTCCGTTCCAATTTTGCTAGTGCCCCTATCTCTCGCCTCTCTATCCATAAACGCTGTACAGAATTTTTATCCCTGGATTAGCACCAGAAGAGTCTCTGGTCCTATAGCAATATGTATGTTTCTAGCTAAGTTGTAAATATGAACACATATTCCCATAGAAATCCTAATAGTATAAGTATTATAATTCAGGCAAATTAGGGCCAAATTGGCTTCTGGGATTGGAACTTACATGACTTTCTGTACGGGAAAACCTTGAGTTCATGACAGACAGAGGCAAGTGAACAGTTGGAAAACAACTTACTCATAAGTTGAAGAGTGCTTAGCTAGGCTGTTTCATAAGCCCAGCGTTGGAGTTGCATGCAGAAGGCATTGAGGCAACTGGGATTGGAAATCTGTTTTTTTTCCTCCAGGAAACAAGGAACCCAGTGGGAGCCTGGGCGCTCTGAGGCTATAAGTATGTGAGACCTATGCTCTAACTAAGTTTACCCTGCCTCCGTTTTCGCACATAATTAGAATGCAAACTTGTAATCAAACCAAGGTTCAGCTGCTGCGCTCCAAAGCCAAGACTCAGCAGAGAAGAGAGTTGGTGAAAGGAAAAGCAGATTTATTCGGAGAGCCAGCAGCCTGAGGCAATGGTAGACTAGAGTTCTAAAGTACCATCTTAAGTCAGTACAAATGTTAGGCTCTTTTTATGTTAAGGGCAAAGGAGTGAGTTGGGATAAAGAGGTAACATCTGACCACAAACATCTTGGCGCCAGCAAGAGTCCAAGGAGGTTGGGAACTTGGTTGTTACTGGTTGGGTCATAATGCGCCTATAAATCTTTAACTATGTAGTTGTTTACAGACTTTTTAAATCCCAGAGTTAGTTTTTAAAACTACATGATTGCACTTTCTGCATATTGTCTCAGTGCTCTAAAATTGTCCTGGCCTACATGGAGGAATGGGTAAAGGCTCCTTATACAAAAGTGGAGTTAGTTATGTTAGCTCTTTTGCTTTTTCACTGTTAGAAATTCTTCTCAGTGGAGGGGACTTTGCTTAGTGATAAGAACCTGTATGAGAATGTTCTCCTTACCAAACGGGCTATACATATTCCTTATCTGATTTTACAGACTCGTTATCCAAACTGAACTTACCGTTCATAGTAACTTCAGAGCCTCTCTTTTAATCTGACTGCTCACTGAAATGCAATCCTTGTTTTAAAGTTGCCTTTACTTGGGGTCTTTCCAGTTCATTTTCTGCTTAATATGTTCTGTCAATGCGCACATTCCTCCATTTGCCTTTCTTCACACTATCAATCTTTTTTATATACCTAATATTATAAAGAGACCATAAACAAAGGCTTAATGGAATATGCCTGTTATATAGGAGGGTACAGTTTATACTTGTTTAAAAATAAATGTGAAGGCCCGGCACAGTGGCTCATGCCTGTAATCCCAGCACTTTGGGAGGCCAAGGCAGGTGGATCAAAAGATCAAGAGATCGAGACCATTCCTGGCCAATATGGTGAAACCCCAACTCTACTAAAAATACAAAAAGTAGCTGGACATGGTGGCATGCACCTGTAGTCCCAGCTACTCGGGAGGCTGAGGCAGGAGAATTGCTTGAACCCGGGAGGTGGAGGTTGCAGTGAGCCGAGATTGTGCCACTGCACTCCAGCCTGGTGACAGAGTAAGACTCTGTCTCAAAATAAAAATAAAATGTAGGGGTTTTATTCTGGTTATTTCTTATGCTTAAATACAGTTGCAGTACCAAAAAAGGTGGAGTGACATGGAACTTCCAGGCAGGCATCAAAGGGGATTAAACTAGCTATCTAGGATAAAGAGAAAATACAGTAGAATAAGGCTACTAATTGGAGCCAAATTGGCAATATGGGGAAATTGAAGGCCCTGAGGGGCAAATGGAGGACGTGCCATGTCGGATATGGAATAGGAGTGCTACCTTGGGGAGTGCAGTGAACACAATGCCTTGTGATGAAGTCAAGTACATTTCATGGATAAAGTATAGACGTGGTGTGACAGTGACAAGATGCTAGAAACCGGAAACCTCTGAAGCATCTAATGTATGTGGATTTTGAAATAAATAACAATAATAGGGGGCAGGGTGGAAAGGAAGAATATGAAAGTGAAGCAGGTCTAAGGTAGAAGTGATGGTCATGGGTTGTAGTAACAACAGCCACATAGAAGTACCTGGTACAAGACTCAAATGAATCTAATATTAAGGGTAAGACTGACTGGTTCTAACTGGTTTTTCTAATTGGTTCAAGGTAAACAACACATTAAATGTTTACAGCAAAAGGCATGGAGAGGTTGGGGAGAAGCCAACTTTCTAAAGTAATGAGAAGTGAAGTGAGTTTTTATTCACAGACCTGGGCTGTGGATTCCACAGAGTGCCGTGGGAAGGAACTGCAGAAGAAAAAAGAATGTGGCCTCCTTCCAAAAGTAAATTGTATTAAGAGGTTGCCAGAGTTTGAGGAAGGAGATGAAGCCGATGAAGAAGGACAGTGCGAGTGAGCAGGGCTCTGAATTGAGACGTGTCAACTGCATGATGAGGTTGGTTATAGAGACCTCTAAGATGCAAGAGCTTAGACAAGTCTGGACTCCTGTACTCAGCACAGAAGCAGCCTCTTCTGTTAATCCACAGTGGGTTACTGACTGCAGAGCTGTTACAGTCACAGCTGTTCTGACTGGCCATCTTTTGGAATAGAGGAAAGGGTAGTGATAATACTGCACACTTATTAACTGCTTACTAAGGGCCAGGCATTACTACATGCTTTACTTGCATCATTTCACTTTCAGCTGGGGAAACTGAAATAGATAAGTGAAATCTGCTCAAGGTCACAAAGATAGTATGCAGTGGGGCCAAGATCTGAACCCAAGCAGCCCAGTTCCAGAATCCATACTTTTAACCTGTGAATACACTTCCTCTGTTTATTTCAGCTGAACAAACCATGTGCTGCAGTGGTAATTCAATGTCTTGAGTCATTATCTATAAAAACTTTTTATCTCCAGGCACTGTTCTGAAAAATGATTCAGAAAGTCCTAGAGTCCAGACACCTCAGGTAACAATATTACCACCCTCTCTGCATACCACATCTTGGCTGAGGTGTGGCGAGCATCAACAGCTCTGCTTCTCACTGCCTGCACAGCAGGGGTGTTGCAGGGGACATTCCACTTTAAAAGTGTGCTCTTTATATGAAAAGATCACCCTTCCTAGCTTAGAACCATAAATCAGTCTGCATTGTTCTCACAGAATGAGGAATATTTGGCTGTCGGCATTGTTCTCACAGAATAAGGAATATTTAGCTGTCTAATTTAATATGGAAAGATTTAAAGGTACGTCCCCATGAGTTAATAAGTCATTATGGATCTATCTTTAGTGAGAGTTTTTAGAAGTGATTTTATATTAGGAGATACTTCTTTGACTTAAGAATGCATACACATATTTTTCTTTGCTTAAGATTGACCACTTTTACAATTCACATGGTGTCCTTTCTAATTCCACAAGGCCAGAATTTGAGCAAGTGCTTGTTCAACCTAGACATAAGAATTCCATAGCCTTTAATTGAATCTCTTCCCAACTTTTATCCTTTAAACCAAGAAGTTCTTACACCACAGCCACTCCAGCTTCTCATTTTATTGGAATTTCTGTGGATCGTCTCCCTCTCAAATGTTCTGCGTGTGTTAGGTAAGGAGTCCTCACGTTATTTTTTTTTACATGTATAGTATTTCTATATATATATATTCATATGTAAAAAGTATATATTAATATATATATATATATATGGTCTGAGGTATATAATTTGATGTTGACAAAACCAACCGTAAGTGTTTTAAACTTTTCAGTTGACTAGCCCCCAACTCACACTGTAACACCACCATTTAGAGCCAGCAGTTTTCCCTTGATTACATGGACAGTTGATTCTCCTCACACGTTAAAAACACCATTTAGGTATCTGAAACCCATCGGTCAAGGCCCTCAGAGCTTTCACCCATCAAGTGCAAGTTGATCTGTAGTGTGTATGTCTGTTTGCTCCTGCCAGTCACCTTCTTAAACCCAGCTGGCCTGCTCCTGGAAGTCCCAAGAGGGGCTCCAGAGTGGAAGATATTTGTAATCTCTGATTCATGGTTACATCATCATGACTCCTCTTCAAGCTTGGTGTGCATACCTTAGTGTTTTGATCTAGTGCCTTAGTTCTGCCTACTTCAGTAATGAATTTAGGAGTAGATCTCTCCCCATTTCATCCCTGATAAAGATTGAGAACTTGACAGCTTCCTGTGGCCAAATTCCCTACTTATTCCTGAGATAGGGTTTAAGAACCTGGATTCTAGAGACAGATTGCCATGATTCGAATCTCAGCTTACTAGCTAAATGACTTTGGGCAAGCGATTACGTTAAATGTAAAATGGCAACGATAATAGGACCTATCCAGCTGGGCAGTTCCGTATATTAGATGAGTTGACAAAGTGCTTAGAATACTGCTTGGCACATTAGCGCCTTATAGCTGCTCGTGTTCTGATTGTTGCTGTGGGCTCTCTCAAACGCTTTGGCTCTAGATGCCAGTGCCCCAGGTCAGAGTTTAACATGCTGCCAGTTTCCCACAACTGCTGCACAGTCCTCCTGGCCCTGGGACAAAAGCTCCCACCCAGGTGTACTTCTGCTTTCCTGCCTGGGGACCTGATGAACAGTGGCCGGCAGAGGACACTTACCGCCCAAGTTGGAAAGGAGAGATTTCTTCCCCTTTGTCTCCGCCCGTTAGTTCTCAGAGGTAACTAGCAGCCCAGGGTGTCCGCAGTTTTACTTCGGAGCTGCTCTTCCGACGTTCTGCAGCAGGAAGGCCGGCCTCGCGGGGGTCTGACGCGCCGCGGCCTGGGAGCCTGGGTCCCTGGGGTTACCTGACTGCTCAGCTGGGGCTGGGTACGGCCGGGCAACCACAGAGAGGAGAAAGCCTCCAGAATCCTAGAGAAGCCGAATGCTGAGCCTGCCGTGGACGGCGGCTGGACCTGAAAGTACCGAAATTCCCGGCCTTTGTGATGAACCTTTGGAGGCGGTTGGCCTCAGGTTCCTGCCCTCCGGCCCTTCATTGTCTCTGCTGAGATCGGGCTGGATATAGGTTGAGAGCTGCTGGGGAAGTTAAAGACGACTTTCAAGTTTTGAGGTATCAGGAAAACTGGCTGTTGAGGAAAAGGGAGTCTGGCTTCCCAGTTTTGGTAAAAGGAAAGTTGGGTTCATTTGGGGAAATTATATGATTCATGATCTTCCCAAGATCGACGCTGAGTACAAGACAAGACAGAATGCACCTAGCCGTTGTGTGACTTTGAGCAAGTTAATCCCTCTGTGCCTCAGGTTCATTCCTCGTGAGAGTATAGCTACTTAAATGGCTGCATGCATAGTGAATTTTAAGTAATAATAGCTATTGTTATTTTTCATTTCTGATGTTCTTATCCCTGCCGTTTATATGGGATATTTTGAATTGGGGAGCCAAGGGAAGAGGGTCATGATCTTTAAAGTTTTATTAATATAAACTTTCGGAGAGTCAAAGGCTAGCAGATGCGGCTAATAATTTGCAGTCACTCTTGCTTTCTTAATTTAGCTTGCTGACACAGAGTTCCATTTTCCTTCAGTGCCATGTTCAGATAAGTGAGCTCCTGGCTAAAGAGCTAAACAAAATTTAGTTTCTGTTAACATTGTTATTGTATGCCTCAGGAAGAAGACCACCTACAAGGAAATACTTCGGAAAAATCACTGTGAACCCCAAGCTGGAGTGGATCTTCTCCTGAGCTCTCTCATTCCAGAATGGCAGTCGTGTTGTAGGAAACATCTCTAATAGTGACTGAGGGTAAAGGAAGAAGGCTTCACATTGTTATGATGTGGATATGGCTACCTGGACTTCACAGAGCTGTCAGAAACCTTGGGAAGCTTTGCCAGTAGTTCCTGAGGCCAGAAATATATGTGCAGAAGTGGGTGCTGGAACAGGTCCTGGCCCCTGCTTATGAAGCTGCAGACATAGGTAGGATAATATCCAGAATGTGGAGAGGAGGCAATCCGTGATGCTGGAGAAGTTGGAGACACAGCTTGAGTGAAGGACAAACCACAGGTGGGAAACGTTGGGAGGATTCACTTATGGCTTGACTAGCAAAAGCTTTTGGGAATAGGATAGAAAGCAGCAAACCTCAACTTTAGGATCCACCAGATGTCTCTGGAACCATATCCCAACATTTCCCTCTTGGGTTTTAGTTCTCCTGCTATTTATTAAGTGCATCTCTGGGGCCTTCTCTTTCTATATTGGGTTTTTTGTTTGTTGAGTGTTTTATCTTAGGGTTTAGCTTCAAATTCCATTTCCCAAGACCATTTTTATCCCATTGCCTTTAGGTCTCAGGCTAAAGGATGGAACAAGTTATGCTTATGACAGAGATAGTACCTTGGAATCAAAGGTTTCAGATCAAACCTAAGAGTCGTAGTTTACCTCTGATTGCCTTTTGATGTGAAAGATGATGAGAGAACATCTCTGGAGAGAAAGAAGAGAAAAGTCTCACAGGGGAATCTTTTAGAACTTTTAGTGGCGTCCTCTCCCCAAAAACCTTGCCTCTACCCTTCTCCTTCTCATTATCTACCTGATTCTTGAAGTAGAAAATCGCAGCCATATTTGTAGGGGATTGGGGTTTTGGCTTTTTGACCCATTTAACTCCTTTAGCTTCAAAGTGTTGCTTTCTTTGTTGTAGACATGAATATTACCTAGAAAAGTTACTTCTCACTGTGGATTTTCCGGTTTACTGGTTGCCCCACATCAGATCGGTATATATTTTGAAACTGGTGTAGCTATTACTGTTTCAAGTTAACTTTGGTCATATCTGGTTGTTTACTGACCCACTCAACAAATATCTACTGAACATTTTGTAGGTCTATAGTAGTAGCCAGTACATATCAGTAAGTAGAAACAGTCCTTTTAACTGTCCTTAGCAAATTAACCTTTCTCTTCGTTTCATGATACTCCTTGTTTCTCAGCTTTGGATTCAAACTGATCTTAACTTTTTTGATTATACTTTCCTGATTTCTTTTGTTGCCACATTTTGTGAAAAGTTTTCCTACACCTCCAGTCTCTTTCTGCCTAGCTGTCTCTTCTCACCCAAATTGGACCCCCCTATTCCTACTCTGCCACGTGCCTTCTTGGACATGTCACAAAAATGAGATGCTTGTTTAGAGTCTTAGAAAAGACATGCACTTTAAATAAAAGTGGGTTTTATTTTTATTCACTGTGCTCTATCATAAATCTCATTTCGGAAGAGGCAACTGACATTTGAATTGTCTGTGCATTTTGTTTTAGATGGTGTTACTGAGAAAGGAAACTAAGGACTTGGCTCCAAAACAAAAACATTCTGGAGATGCTGAGTTTTGTGGGGTGGGGAATGTCTGATGAACTGCAACATCCATGCAGTAAGTATGGGAAAAGCTGTAGTTTCTGGGGAATTGTGACTCAGCATCATGGAGTCCACAATTCAGAGAATCTCTGCAATCAACAAGTTTTGAAAGGCTTTTGTTTATAGTGGATCCCTCTTTTTCCCCCAGAAGAACCACTACAAGGAAAAATGCTATCCTTATAAGGAATGTGGGAAAGTTTTCAGCCACATGGCCTTATTTGACAACAAAGAATCCATGTAAGAGATTGCATAAATGTGATAACTGAGGAGGCCTTTGTCCAGCAAGGAAACCTTATACAACCTTGTTTGACAAATGGAGGAAGACCTTCACCCAGAGGCAAGGACTGACTGTGCACCAGAGAATCTGCACAATAAACGTGACGAATGTGGAAATGCTTTCCATTGTGTACCAGCTTTCTTCAGCATTGGAGAGTTCTCACTAAAGGGAAACCCTGCCAGTGTTCGAGTATGGAGAAGCCTTCAGAGGTTGGACCTTGGGAAAAATCAGTGAATTCATATTAGAGAGACTCTTATAAATGAGAGGACTGTGGGAAGTTATATGGACAAAAATCATACCTCAACAAGGGAGTTTCCAGTTTTGAAAAGTTAATATAATTAATATAAGTAGGCAAGGTGTATGGGAAATGAGTATTCTAAAATGCTAATTTTAGCCAGTAAAAACATTGAGTGTCTTAGGTCAAGAAAAGGAAATATTAGAAGTTATTTTTCTTTTCCAGAGGGTTCTGTAAGTAGACGCAACCAGGACTTTTGAAATGAAATAACTTGCCTCTCTGGATTTGTGATCTGCCTCCCGGATGATTATCTCTGCTTTGGAGGACAGGTCTTTTTCTTCATGCCTGCTCTAGTATCATATATTTAATTCATTCAGCAAGTGCACCCAGTAGTATGATTGTCTACTGTTTACTGTAAACATATATATTTTCTTTATGGGCTGAGCAGGCTTGTGTTTGTACCCTGGGACACAAAAATCACATATATAATGTTTCAATAAGTGTAGTGAAAAGAACTCGATTATTGAATTGCTGGGTATTTCTGTAAATTTGAGACTGCCTTTATATTCTCCAATACAAGACCATGTAGGTATCCCGTCAGAGAGTATATTTTTCCAGGTTTGGCTTGTTTATTTCATGTATTTTGAGATGGAGTCTTGCTCTTGTTGCCCAGGTTGGAGTGCAATGGCACTATCTCAGCTCACTGCAACCTTTGCCTCCTGAGTTCAAGCAATTCTCCTGCCTCAGCCTCCTGAGTAGCTGGGATTACAGGTGCCCACCACCACGCCCTACTAATTTTTGTATTTTTAGTAGAAACAGGGTTTCATCCCAGAGTGCTGGAATTACAAGCGTGAGCCACCGCACTCAGCTATTTTTTTAAGATAGAAAAATATACTTCACATATAGTCTATTGACAGATAATGACTGATACTTTTTTCATATAGATAACACATAATACACATTGTGAAGGCTAATACATTAAGTAACTTGCTTATTATTTTCTGTTCTAAAACCTATAGGCAAAAATATGAAAGAATCTTTAGAGGCTGTGAATAAGTTGAATGTAGCCCAATCTCTACCCATGATGAGAGAATGCAGCTTATATATTTTATAGTAGGGCACTAAATTCAGGAACCATGTATTTCAAAACTTTTTAGTGATTATCTCAGAATTCTAGGTTTCTCTGTACTGCACATACCTAAATTTTTTGCATAGGTATTATTAATACATTCATTATTTTAAAAGATGGACAGCATTCAGTAAAAGGCTTTTCCAGTATCTGCAAATCACACAATTTTTTTCTTTATTACTATTATATAAAATGATTTCCTAATATTGAGCCAACCTTGCATTCCTAGAACAAACCTCAGCCACGGCATGTTATTTTCTTAATGTGTTAATGGGTTTACTTGTTAATATTTTAGTTAGTACATTTTCTTCACTATTCATGTGAAATTGGTCCATAATTTTTATACCATATTTTTCAGGTTTAGATTTTCACTCTTAACTTGCATCATAAATATAATTTAAGTCTGTGTTCATTTTTAATGCTTTAGAACAATTTATTAAGCATCAGATCTAGCTAGTCTTAGAAGGATAGTTTCTGATGTGAAACCCTTGAGTCGTATGCTTTTTTGTGGGATAATTTCTGGTAATTTCCTCTATTCTATGAAAATGATCTTTTCAGGCTATTTATAATGGGTTCCACTTTGGTAATCTTTGCCTTGGAAATTACCCATTTCATCAAGACTTTCAAATGTATTTGCCTAGAATATGCAATGTAACCTCATGACTTTTAAAACAAATTTTATTTATTTTATTTTTTTAGAGACAGGGTGTTGCTCTAGACTGGAGTCCAATGGTGCAGTCATAGCACACTGCAGCCTTGAACTCTGGTCTCCCAACTAGCTGGGACTACAGGCATGCAGCACCACACGGAGGTAATTTGTTCGTCTATTTGTCTTTTGTAGAGACAGGGTCTCTTTGTTGTTCAGGCTGGTCCTAAACTCTTATCCTCAAGCGATCCTCCTGCCTCAGCCTTCCAAAGTGCTGCAATTACAGGCACGAGCCACCATATCTGGCTTCGTTATGACTTTTTAAACAGCTTTACTGAAGGAGATTGATATGTAATGAACTGCATACGTGTACAGCTTGTTAAGTTCTAACATGTTTACACCTGTGAAACAATCACTGCCATCAATATGTCACCCAAAAAAGTTTCCTCGTGTCCCTTGATAATTTCTCCCACCCTTACCTGGACTCTTCCCTGCTCTCCAAGCAACCTATATTCAGCCTTCTGTTGCTAAGGTGTAATGAATGAATTAGTAAAAAGATTAGCTAATTAAGCCATTATTACTTAATACTTTAATCTTGGGTGTTTTACAGTTAATCCAATGATAAAAAATTGTGGCAGAGAAGGCCCTCCTGGATCTCCTTGAAGGGAAGTACCTGGACCACCCAGAATTTTTGTAGATTCCTCCTGAAAGGATGACAAGTTGTCTCCACCCATACTCCCATTCAGATCATTCTTTCTTTTATATTTATAAACTAGAAATTATTTAATATCTCTAACTTACTTTCCTGTTTCTTGTTAACTCTTGAAAAGCTTAACTAGCAGTTATACTTTAAATGGAGGGAGGTACAAAGCCTCATTCCTCGTTAGAGGAAATTGTCTCGTGACAGCCTCATGGTAGGTAGGGAGGTATGTGGGAAACGGCCTTCTATCAGCTCCTCACAAAACCTACCGTGCACTCATGTTCTAGGTGAGTTACGGTGCTTAGATCAGCTAGTGTTAAATCCTCGTCTGTGTGGCTCATATGAAGATATGCAAGTTGCCAGGCAGCCATGGTGCAGTCATTCTCCTAAAGGAAGAGCTATTAAGTCTGTTAAGTCTCACTAAAGTGAGAACAGAAATGCATAAAATGCCTTAGAAGAACGAAGTCTGTTTAGGGTTTTTGTTCTTCGAGGGCAGAAATAATGTCTTGTTCATCTTTGATTCTTTAGCATTTGACCTGACATAATAATGTGAATACTTTGGTCTCCAGCAATCACTGTCAGGAGATTTTACGTTATGTTAATAATACAAAAGAACAAGTAGAACCAGCCAATTTTCAGAATTATTCATCAGTAAATCTGCTAGATGCTAAGGATACAATGGTGATACAGTTTATCTCTTGTCCCTCAGCCTGCCTCATACCAGCCGTTCTATCCTGATCTGTAAGCTCAGTAGGGAGGCTACAAACATCATTTCCCAGGCTCCTATTGCCATTTGGAAGAACTTACAAAAGGGGGCAGCACAGGTTAAAGGTTTTAATGCTTTACTGAAATTGTAATACTCTACTGTAGTTTTAATGTTGAAACTATAGTATTGTAATGGCCAATTTTATGTGTCAACTTGACTGGGCCACAGAGTCCCCAGATATTTGGTCAAACGTTATTCTGAGTGTTTGATTTTGGATGTGATCAACCATTACCTCAGTAGACCAGGTGAAGCAGATTCCCTTCCCTAATGAGGGTGGCCCTCATCTGATTAGTTGAAGTTAGGAAGAAAACAAAAAAGATGATGCTACCTCAAGGGGTACGCCTCTTGACCATCTGGAGCTGGGACATCAGTCTTGTCTGGCCTTCAGACTCAAACTAGAACACTGACTCTTCTGGGTCTTGAATCTGCTGGCTTTTGACTGCTCACTCCGTTGGCTCTCCTACATCTCTAGTTTGCAGATCGGAGAACCTGGGACTTCTCAGCCTTGATAATCATATGAACCAATTCCTTCCAATAAATAAAAATATATACACAAACACATATATTATGTATAATATACATAAATTGATATTATAAATACAAATATATATGTATACACATACATACATATATAGACACAGACCCTATTGCTTCTGTTTCTCTGGAGAATGCTAAAATATATTCAGAAAGTTTAGAAATCATGCAATGCATTTTTCTCAATTTAAGAATCTACTCAAACAAAGTAACCATATGGTTTACTACTATAATACAAATAAATTACATTAGGATTTGCTAGATTTGTGTCCCCTAGATCCCTGAAAACCTTGAAGTGATCCTTTATGCCTTGGAAACTGGCATAAAAACAGGGATTTGGGTAGTTCTATAAAGGAGTTTGGATGAGGATTCAATTTCTACTAAACAAAATACACAGAGCAGGAGACAATATATCACAATGCCCAAATCATTAACTATAAAAGGTGACCAGAAAAATCTTTGAATTCCAGAGTCTTTAATTGATATTATAATATGGAAGAGATTGCTGGTGCCAGGCACCATGTGAGAAATGTGAGTAGATGCAATAATGAAAGCATATTTCTACAATAAGGAGAAGCGATTCTAACAAAAAAGGAACTGTCTTCCCACAGTTGTCACACACACACACACAAGGCTTCTCTCCCCAGTGTGGGTTCTCCGGTGTTGGATCAGGCCTGAGCAGTGACTGAAGGCCGTGCTGCACTATTCACTTGGCTAGTGTGCTTCTTTTTGTAGGAATACGGTGAAGCGCTAACACGGAAGTCTGCAGCAGAACAGTCATTCCGAGACACTTTGGTAGAAACTGCCATTGAATGTTTACATAATAAATACTGATTGTATAATGCTGACTAAAAGTTTCCTCACTTCAATTCACAAGACTAAAATTTTGACTATCATGATGGGAAAAAAAGATGGGCTACACGGTGTGTTTAACAAAAAGTAGACAGCCTGAGGAGTTAAATTAATGGTTAAAATAGTCATGATGGAAAATGCAGATGCTGTTACCACACAGTGATTTTGGAATCAATGTATAAGAAGACCAAGACAGCCAGACATTAATAAAGGGGCTCTGAAACTCTAAGTGATACTTGTTTTAAATATTTGGTGTGAATCCACTGACCTGGAGAAAGTATGAACTTAGCAGGAATACGTTTTACACAGTTTACAGTGTGTGGTGGGTGGTAGGCAGGATAGGGTCTATTGTTTTAGAAGACGTTGGTTAGGCCCGAGAGAACTAAGGGAAGTAAGATACTGAGCATTAGAATATTTATCATTTTATTCTGACTTGATGATTGATTTTCACAGTGACTGAATAGGAAAGTGTCTTCTTTAAACAGTAGCAACAGGGAAACATTAAAGAATGAAATTTGCTGGGCCTACTCTGGCTGCTCAGCTGACCTCTCCATTTACCTTCCAATACCTGGACTTCCCTGCCCTGTTCAGCCCCATAGCTCCCAACTGTTAGGTTTCTGCTCCATGGTTGGGCCTGTGACAGCTACTTTGAATAAACCAGACACCCTCCACACACACACACACACACACACGAATGAAATTTGGGCTGGGTATGGTGGCTCACACCTATAATTCCAGTACTTTGAGAGGGTGAGGCAGGAGGATTGCCCAGGATTTTGACCAGCCTGGGCAACATAGTGAGACCCCATATTTAAAAAAAAAAATGCAATTCCATGGATGGTACACATTCATAATGATTTAGTGATAAGCTGTTTAAGGCATTTGCACCAGAACAGAATTCCTAGTCTGGTAAAGAAATATCCCGGTGGCTCATGCCTGTAATCCCAGCACTTTGGGAAGCCGAGGCAGATAGATCATGAAGTCAGGAGATCGAGACCATCCTGGCTAACACAGTGAAACTCCGTCTCTACTAAAAATACAAAAAAAAACTAGTCAGGCATGGTGGCACGCACCTGTAGTACCACCTACCCTGGAGGTTGAGGCAGGAGAATCGCTTGAACCCGGGAGGCGGAGGTTGCAGTGAGCCAATATCACACCATTGCACTCCAACCTGGGCAACAGAGGGAGACTCTATCTCAAAAAAAGAAAGAAAGAAAGAAAAAGAAATATGGATTCTTTCCATCACAGAAGCCCTGCCATTACCTCTGCTCTGCCTATGTACTTGGCAAAAAAATGCACTAGATTGAGTCACAATCTGGGTCAGAGAGTTAGACACAAGCACAAATGGCCTTGGTGAGTTCTTTAGAAACCTGGATAACATCAAATTTTCAGAGATATTAAGGTAATCTCACTGGTACATTCAACAAACATTTATTAGCACCTGCGGAAAAGGCACAGAGGGGGATATAAGACTGTGAATCTGACCAACTGTGGGGGATTTGTTAGAGTCAAAGAGAATGGTCAGAGAACCCAACTCAAAGTACTGGGTTAGGGAGAGTAGCCAGTCTAAACATCCGATTAATTCCACCGGAGAGAATGAACCGTTTCAGGTCTTACCTCTTCTAGACAACTTTCCCATAGTCTCCTATCAAGGGTGTTTTGATTCCATTGATTCCAAACACCTTCTAGAATTTAGAAGATACTTCATCTAACCCAGCCTATATTTTCTAACACCTGATAATGTGTAGTGGTAAACGAAGCCCAGTCCACAATTTCTGTAATCAAGACTCCAGGGTGAGTGGCTTCAGATCGGTCACAACTGAGCACCGACTCGCATGTACGGCGTGGTCACTGTGATAGGATGTTTCTCCCCGCGTGGCTTCTCTGATGTTGAACAAGGTATGAGATTCGACTGAAGCCTTTTCCACATGCGTTACACTGATAGGGTTTCTCACCAGTGTGGATTTTTTGATGTTCAATGAGGCCTGAATTCTGAGTGAAACTTCTTTCACACTCACTACATTTGTAAGACATGGGAGTTTCAACATTTTCCAACTGGCTTTCCATCCTACTTTTCCAGGCGTCTCCCTGCTCAGGCTCCTGAACATTTTTATCCCCAGTATGAATCCTCTGATGTCTCAGGAGATGTGAACTTCGCCTAAAGGCTTTGCCGCACATATTGCACTGATAAGGCTTCTCCCCAGTGTGGATTCTGTGATGTTCAAGGAGGCTGCAGCTCTGGCTGAAGGTCTTTCCACAGTCATCACACTCGTAGGGCTTCTCCCCAGTGTGGGTTCTCTGGTGTTTGATAAGGTCTGAGCTGTGACTAAAAGCCTTGCCACATTCTTCACACTCATATGGCTTCTCACCAGTGTGGACTCTCTGATGAATGACGAGGGCAGAGCTCCCAATGAAGGCTTTGCCACACTCCTCGCATTCGTAGGGTTTCTCACCAGTATGGATTCTCCTGTGTTTACTCAGGCCTGAACTTTGAGCAAAACTCTTTCCACATTCATGGCAATAATGTCGCCTACTCCCCACGACATTTTTCTGCTTTCTTTGTAACCTGCCCTCCTGTTCAGCAGCTTCTGCACATGTAGGAATCTGGACAATGTCTTCACTCAGGTGGCACGATATCTTCCCATGCTCCTTTTCTGGAAGCTCCTCGGCTGGAGGCAAGTCCCTGCTCTGAGTCTGTATTTCACCACCTAAAACAACAAATGGCCGGCAACTGTGGGCTACACCCTGCCATGGGAGGAAAGCTCTGTGATTAGTACCAGGGAGGCAGAAATGACCGAGGTCTACAAATGCCCGGGATGAGGATTTAAGTGCTAGAATAAGGATGGGAACAAAAGGCAAGAGCCGAGTGCTGGGGAGGAGGGAGATCTGAGAATGGGAATGGGGCCATTGGAGGCGCACAAATAGGGAGTGGAGGGAAAGAGGTGAGAACCCAGGACTGTGCGGGGGACATAGGTGGTGGTACTAAGCTCTATGAATGGTAAGGCAGGGCCATGCACCTAGGATTAGATACTAAAAGGGTTGAACAGAAAGTGACAGTAAATGGGGCAAGTGGAAGAATTTCTGAAATATCTTTGAGAAACAGCAATTGGGAGGCCGAAGCTGACAGCTCACTTGAGGTCGGGAGTTCAAGACAAGCCTGACCAACATGGTGAAACCCTGTCTCTACTAAAAATACAAAAATTAGCCAGGCATCGTGGCAGGTGCCTATAATCCCAGTTACTTGGGAGGCTGAGGCAGGAGAATCGCTTGAACATGGGAGGCAGAGGTTGTAGTAAGCTGAGATCCCACCACTTCACTCCAGCCTGGGTGACAGAGTGAGACTCCATCTTAAAAGACAAAAACAAAAACAAATGAAACAGCAAAAGTGGAGACTCAGAAATTGGGCACTGATCAATGATATGATACAGACAGTCTTCTGTGCTCATATCCCAGGCAGAGGCAAGGTCCCCAAACAGAACTGGATTCAGTGCTGGGAGATCTGTGCCTCCAATGAGCTATGTGGCCTCAGACAAGTCAGGCAATCTTCTCATGCTCTGCACCCTCATCTCTGAGGTCAGGGTCTGTAGTCAATGTCTGAAGACCCTTCTAACTCTCACACTCTATGGTCCCAAGGCCCATTTCCTGAAGAGAAGCCCCAGATTTCCTCTTCAGCAGGGATAGGAACAGAAGGACATCAACACTTACTGGGCATCTCCGATGAGCCAGACCTGTACTTGGGGTTGTATCGACTTCAACCCATTTAACTTAACTAGAATATTGACAGGGAGAGGAGAAAGCAAGGTCAGAAGGGGTAAGCAGGCTGGGTGCAGTGGCTCACGCCTGTAATCTCAGCCTTCTGGGAGGCCAAGGCAGGAGGATTGCTTGAGCCCTGGAGTTCGAGACCAGCCTAGGCAACATAGCAAAACTCTATCTCTACAAAAAATAAAAATTTTAAAAATTAACCAACTGTGGTGGTCCATAACTGTAGTCCCATCTGTTTGGGAGGAAGTGGTGGGAGGATCATTTTAGCCCAAAAGGTCGAGGGTGCAGTGAGCCATGATTGTGCCACTGTACTCCATCCTGAGTGACTGAGCAAGACCCTATCTCTCAAAAAATAAAAAATAAATAAAAAATAAAGTAAGGAGCTGGTAAGTAACAGGCTTTCAAAAATGGTGATTGTGAATTCAAACATAATACAGCTCAACAGCTTCCAACAGCTCAACAGGTTCTAATACACAAAGAACGCCAAGAAACCTTAAAAGGAACTAGTGTCCTTCAGTCTTACCCAGGGAGGCCAGGCTGCCATGGTTCTCCTGCTTTTCATCTCTATAGAGATTCACCTGAGATGAATCCAGCTGTGTCCATTCAGGGGCGAGGCTCAGGGCCACATCTTCCACTTTCAGCAACCCCTAAAACAATAGGTAACCCCACTGAAGAAGGGCTGACCAAATTGATGGAGTAGGGAAGATCTGGGAAGCCCCCCAGCCCCCACCCCTGCCAACAGCTAGTAATAAAACAGGAAAAGCCTCTTCTGTGGGCACCTAAATGAAGTAGTGATAAACAACCTCAAGATAGATGAGCAAATGCAAATCCCATCTGAGATCTGAATGGAGGATCTAGCCTGGGGATAGAGGGAAATGGGGAGGGAGGAGTCCTCACAGGAAGCTCAACAGCAGTGAAGGGCATTGGGGGAGGGGGGGGTCCAGCTCACCTGGGACTCTGGAGGAACCCTAGAAGCTGTCACTGCATCTCCTCTGCAGTACCCTCCGTGGGCAAACACAGGGACCTGGGGAACTAAGAGGGAAAGAAGCTCTGGATGAGATGTACCCTGGCATTCAGCCTCCCTGCCTTGTGGAATCTAAGTTAAATATGTGGATTAATAGATTCCTGTCTCACTTGACTGCGCCCAGGAGTCTGAGGCAGCAACGAGCTGTGATTGTGCCACTGCACTCCAGCCTGGGCAACAAAGCAAGACCCTGTCTCTCTCAACAAACAAATGCCTGCCAAACACGTTTATACAGTCTGATCCTTTCCAAAATTCCCGGTCCCTACCAGCTCCAATCCTGTGGCTAAAGACAGCTCTTGTGCTCTCTAGATATGTGAAAACAAAGCAAAATGGCAGAATCCTTTTTAGCAGTGGTGAAATAAAAAGAGCACAAAAATAAAACAGAAAAGCTTTCGATTTAAGATCCTTTGGATTTTGCTAGAGATAGGAGGAAAAATTGGATTTTCAGTGAGTATGTCCTTAGTAACCGTTAGGGAGCTTTTCACTTTGGATTTGAAAAGTTAAGAGGAGTCAGGCAAAGGTGGGCTATGAAAGGCAGAAATAGGGTCTGACTTTTACAACTTGCTAAAATTCAAGAGAGAGAAAAGTAAAAGGACTTCAGGTTTCCTTATTATCCCTTATATAACTTCAGGAAGCAAATTGTGAAAGGGGCACAACACAGGTGTTTTAGGCTAGAACCTCTGCTGAAAACTAGCGGCTGCATGTTGGCTGGAACACACAGTGAGGTGTGTCTTGGGAACTGGCACACGTGTTTAGGACGCATGAAAGGACACCTCTGAACATACAGCTGTTTCCTATGCAGTGAACTTCAAATTATTTTCATAACAGACCGAGGATTTAGAAGATTTATACCCTTTAATTTGCAAGAGTCCTACAATTTATGAGATTGCCTGGCTGGCTGTACAGATTCTGTTTACTTTCTGCCTGGGACTCCCCCCTGTCATATGAACTGTATTATTAAAGTGTTCATTTGCCACCTTCTTCACTGAAATATAAGCTCCACTGGACCAACAAGAGTCTCGCTGACAGTTCCATTCCCAGAGCTAACTGCCCACCACTCTAGAGGCCTCCGTAATTACGAGTTAAACGAAGAACAAAGGCAAGTAGCAGGTATACACAAGTGTGGCAGCTCATGCCTATAATCCCAGCACCTTGGGAGGCCCAGGGAGGAGGATCGCTTGAGCCCAGAAGGAGTTTGAGACCAGCCTGGGCAACATGGTGAGGCCTCATATCCACAAAACTTTTTTTTAAAAAAAGTAGCCAGGCATGGTGGTACACACCTGTAGTCCCAGCTATTCAGGAGGCTGAGGTGAGAGGATCGCTTGAACCCAGGAGGTGGAGGCTGCAGTGAGCTGATATCAGGCCACTGCACTCCAGCCTGGGTGAAATAGCAAGACCCTGTCTCAAGAAAACAAAACCCAATAAAACAAAACAAAACTCAAACAAGAACCGATTCTTTTCAAGCCCGTTTTACTAATATCTTATTTACTACGTCCAGTACTGGTTGAAAAACCTTCCACCATTATGTTGGAAATATTCCTTTTAGTCTCAGTCTTAACTCAAGAGTTGGTCTGCGATGGGCATGTAAACCACCTATCAATGATTTTGTTGGCTATCCTTAAATGAAATTAGATGAAGTCTGCAGAATTCATACTGCCTAGAAAATAATCCTGGGCCGGGCGCGGTGGCTCACGCCTGTAATCCCAGCACTTTGGGAGGCCAAGGTGGGCGGATCACAATCAAGAGATTGAGACCATCCTGACCAACTTGGTGGAACCCCATCTCTACTAAAAATACAAAAAATTAGTTGGGCATGGTGGCACGTGCCTGTAGTCCCAGCTACTCGGGAGGCGGAGGCAAGAGAATCGTTTGAACCTCAGAGGTGAAGATTGCAGTGAGATCATGCCACTGCACTCCAGCCTGGTGACAGAGCAAGACTGTCTCAAAAAAAAAAAAGAGAGAAAAGAAAAGAAAATCCTTACCTCCGTCTTGCAAGGGTTGGGATCCCAGAGATTCATGCTTGAGCAGAGCCTTCATTAGCTGAGCTTGGCTACCTTGTGACTCTGGGGTTGGTGGCAACAGTGCCATCTTGCAACAGGGAAGCTCTTGTCCCTGGTCAACACCTGGAACCTAGAAATCATTTATTCTTATTTTCATTTATTCATCAAACACTCCCACAGAACCAGCTATGTGGCTGGCACTGTTTCCAAGAGTATTATAAAAGTTAACTAATTTAACGCAGAAAACAACAATCTTATAAGGGAGGTACTATTGTAACACCCATTTTACTGACAGGGAAATGAAGGCACGGCCAGTTTAAGCAGCTAGTAAGTGGCAATAGTAGGATGGGAGCTCAGGTAGAATGATGCCAGAGCGCATGTTCTTACCATTACTCTATGCTCCTTCATATATACATTTGTGCTTTTATGAAAATCCTTTGGAAACTGGTCCAAAATTCTCAGAGAATGTTAATACCTTTTATTATCTGAAAAGGGGATAACAATCTCTAGTTTATGGAGTTTGGGGGACCCAAATAAGATCACAGCATGTGAAATCCCCTAATACGGCCTGACATATGATATGTCCTCATTAAATGCAGGTTTCCTTCCAGGTATTTATAATAATATACAATTACAGTTTTCAAGTTACTTTCTCATGTGCAGCTCAGAATTTCCCACGTTCTTTATAAAGAACGAAGCTGAGAGACTTGCAGTGACTTCCCACTGTTATAGGACTCGGGTGCAACAGACCCAAGTCAAGAACCTTGGCATCCAGCTCTCCAGTTAGAAGGCTCTGGCCACACAGGTCCTCTGAGGTTTGTGCACAGGGACACAGGATGATGCAAAGAAGAAACAGGCTCATAAAACAGGGAGGAAGATGGAGGTAGAAATCGGCCCACTTTATGCCAGAGGTTCATAACCAGTGGTCCATGGATTTTGTCCCAAGTGGTCCATGAACTTAGATGGGATTAAAAACTCATCTTATTGTTACTGGTCTTTATGAGAGAGTTAGCATTTCCTTCAGTTACGAATGGGAGCAACAACTCAAGGTACCGTAAGCAACAGCCAGGACTTTGTCACCAATAGAACCTGCACATGTTTTCCCATCACGTTACAACCAGGCAAATACACGTTTATCACCGTTTTGAAATTGCCAGTTAGAATCCCGTCCCTAGGTCACGTATTTAATGCAGTAATAACAAACCGCGCATATGACTTTAATACAAATTTAACTCTTTGCTAACTGTATGTCAATATGGTTGCGCTCTTTTGTAATCCTGCATAGTTTCTTTATGTGTTTAAAACTCTAATTCTGAGAGGGAGTCCAGGGACTCCGCCTTACTGCCAAGGAGGTTGGCGGTACAAAAAGAGATGGAGAACTCCCGTATCTTAAGGGGATGCCCCTCACTCCAATCTTGAGATGTCAGGAGGAAACGCACCACAGCGCTGAGATACTAAACCTGGTCCTTCTACCTGCGGCGCCGGCTCCTCCAGCTGCCTCTCCAAATACTCCAGCAGCAGCACCACCTCCTCCCCGCTCTCTGGATGCTGCTCCCGCACCCAGCTCTGCACGTTCCCCGGCAGGATGGTCAGGAACTGCTCCAGCACCAGCAGCTCCAGGATCTGCTCCTTGCTGTGCATCTCAGGCTGCAGCCACTGTCTGCAGAGCTCTCGGAGCCGGCTCAGCGCCTCGCGGGGGCCCGCAGCCTCCGGGAAGCGGAAGCCTCGGAAGTGCTGGCGGGAGCGCTCGGGGCCCAGATCCAGGCTACTAGGAAAACCGGCCTCTTCTTCCTCCACCTTTATGACCAGAAGCTCCGTCTGGTCTTCCGTAGACTGGGCACCCAGGGCTGCGCTTTCACGAAATTCTCTAGCCATCCCGGGCCAAGGCAGTCCTCAGGCCTCACTCCAGCTTCCAGAGCTATTTCTGCAGATCCCTGAAAGGTGGGAAGTCATTATTAGCCAGTAAACTTGCAGGTTGTCCCCGCTCCTGCTCAGGAGCCCAGAGACCTCTCTGGGGAACTGCTGCCGAACTTCCTCCATGTTCAGTGCTTCCGCAGCTTATCCCCTACACCACCCACGCCTGAATCCCACAGTAAGGTCCCCAAAGCATGTCCCGGGTCATCCCAGACACCCCCAAGCCCCTGACTAATCAGGAAAGAAAATGAAAGTGGTGAGCATCCAGGGGGCTTCCTGGACTCTCCAGGCAGTCCCTCTCAGTGAAATCGTCCAGAGTTAACCCGTTAATAACCAGGGGTGGTTTGTCCAAATTCGAAGATGACCCTAATTTCCTGCCCCAGTACTCAGGACTTTGAAAATGAGATAGCAAGTCCAGACTGACTGGACTGATCCCAAGGAGCTGAATTCTACTGACAATCTCAATGACCTGATGAACAGATTCCTCTCAGAGCTTCCAGGTAAGACTGCAGCCTTCCCAATGCCTTGGCACTGACCTGGGAAGACCCTAATATTGAACCCAGCTGAGCCTGCCTGGCCCTCTGACCTACAGAACTGGAACAAATAAACTGTTTTTGTTTGTTTGTTGTTTTTGCTTCTTTGTTTTGAGATAGAGTCTTATCCTCTTGCCCAGGCAGGAGTGCAGTGGCGTGGTCTTGGCTCACTGCAACCTCCACCTCCCATGTTCAAGAGATTCTCCTGCCTCAGCCTCCTAAGTAGGTGAGATTATAGGCATGCACCACCACGCCCAGCCATTTTTGTATTTTTAGTAAAGATGGGGTTTTGCCATATTGGCCAGGCTGATCTTGAACTCCTGACCTCAAAAGATCTGCCTCAGCCTCCCAAAGTGCTGGGATTAAAGGGGTGAGCACTGCACCCAGCCCAGATTTTGTTTTAAACTGATAAATCTGAGGCAAATGTTATACAGCAACAGAAAACTAACACAGTTGATTCTGTATCTGCAGGTTCTACATCCACACATTCAACCAGCTGGAAAATATCTGGGGGTCAGGGGGGATAAGAAAAACAACAATTAAAAAAACACACAAAAATACAAAATAACAAGTATTTACAAAGCATTTCTATTATATTTGGTTTACGAGTAATCTAGAGATGCTTTAAAGTATACAAGAGAAGCTGAGCCTGGGGCATACAACTGCAGTCCCAGCTACTCAGGAGGAGGAGGCAGGAGCACAACCTGAGCCCAGGAGTTCTATGATTGTGCTACTGTACTCCAGCCTGGGCAATAGTGTGGAGACCCCATCTCTTAAAAAATATGCAGGAAGATGTGTGTATGTTGTAGGCAAATACTATATAACATTTTATGTAAGACTTGAGCATCCACAAACTTTTGTATCAGTGGGGATCCGGGAATCAATCCCCCATAGACAGTGAAGGATAGCTGTATCAGGTCTTCTCTGTGGTCAAGGTACTGCGGTAAGGGGAAAAAGAAAGAAAAGATAGAAGGCCCTGGACCAAAAGAAACGGGACTGAATTAACAAACCTTGGCTGCCTGCTAGTGAGACCCTCAGTTACATCTGATGTGAGCCTTGTCCAAAAAACTGGCATAATATTCATATTAAAATTCAGCTGAAAGTAGAGTTTCTCCAGACTCCTGATCTCTGGGCTGGAGGCCCTTTAGTTTCTCTCAGAAACACCAAGAAGGCAGAAAACATCACCAAGCCCTTGCCCTGGAGAGAGCACAGGCTGGCCCTGGTCTTTGCCACCTCCTCAATCTCCCACTCTGTAGTGTTCGCGCCAAGGGCTCGAGACAGCTAGTTGACTGGCCCCAGTTTGGCTGCTGAACCTGTCTGCATTTCCCCACCTCGAGGGCTGTCGAGTGAGACAAAGGGCCGCGAGCTGACTCACTAAAAGCAACAACAGGATGCAAAGCACAGGCCTGCAGTTTATGAGGACATTGTTCTGTCTGCTTCCATGTCCCCTCAGTCTCGGTGTAAGCAATAAACTTACTGCAATTGAGATGCCTAAGAGGAGCAGAGACCTCTGCCCATATTTTCCCTGGAGCCAAGCCTTTGTTTTAGCTCCTGGTGAAAAACAGGTTTAACCAGCCACCTTAAGGGCGCCATTGTGTCTTTGAAATGTAAACTCCTATCACAAGCCCCCTTAAACTGCTTTCTGAGCGGATAGCACAAGCCCCTGATAACTATTTTTTATGGAGTTTCTATTTCCTTTGTTTACCCCCTTTTTTCCTTTCTACTGAGATTAAGTAAATGTAACAAGAAAAAGGTATAAAAGCTGTAACCCACAAGAATAAAATCGCTGTGGCTGTCACTGTGGCTGCTGCTGCGCTGCCCAGCCCTCCAGACTCTACTTTTCTATATTCCTTCTCTTCAGCGCACTCTCTCTCTCAGGTTGAACGAGACATCTACGTTGGCGGTCTCGGGGACTCCCGCAGGTCGGTAGTCCCCCCGGCAGACGTGCCGGACCCCGACACCACTCTCTTTCTTCCCCTTCAAGACCAGACTTCTTGAAAGCAAGCCCCCAGTCCCTGATTCTAGTCCTCACCTCCCACTGAGCCTCCCACACATCGTAGGCTGCAAACTGCCAACATCGCTAAGATTCTGCCCGCAGACTCCCTCGATTCCCATTTTCCATGGCCTCTTCTCAGGCAACTGGGCTGAGGACACTGTCTACTTCCAGAAACTCACTCGTCCCTGAGTCCTCCTTCCCGGTTCTTCTCAGCTCCCATTGTCATCTGGTTACTGTTCTGAAGCCAGGTCTCCTGAGGTCAGTATAATCCTGGCTTTACTACCTACTAGCTCAGTGCCTCCCTTTTTTAATCTGTAACAGGGATAGTGATAGCGAATAGGGCCATTGTAAGCATTAAGTAAGTGACTGTATAAAGTTCTCGGAACAGTGCCTGGTGTGTGGTTGAAGGAACATGGCTGTGTTGCAGCCAGGCAGGCATAGGCCAAGGTCAATATCCTGCATGACTCAGCAGGCCTGGAGTGCAGGCATGACTCAGCAGGCCTGGAGTGCAGGCACAGTTTCATGCATTCTATAGTCACAGCTATGTAGCCATAACATGGGAGGCTCATCACCTGGCTCTGAGCCTCTATTGTTTGTGAGGTGTACAAATGCAGCACCGACACTGTGAAAGAGCTGCTGAATAAAGCCATGTCCCCTCTACCTGCTGTCTCTTGAGTGTGCTTCCAGCTCCCTGCCCCAAATCCACCCACTCCCCTCAGACCTCAGCTGGGGCTTGACCCTGACATTTGGTATAGTGGGCAGGATGAGGTAAGCGGGTCTTCAGCCCCCCAGGCTCCCGGGCCAGCTATGCAGCCGCAGCATGAGCTGTGGAACCCAATGGCAGCCGTGCTGTCATGGGCTCTGGTGGAAACATGGGCCACAGTGGATAGGTCCTCCACGAGCGTGGAGAAGATGCTGAAGCACCTAGAAGTGCACAGCACCGAGAAGGGGAGCACCTTTGCCAGCAGAGTCAGATGGGCATTTGTGACAAGTGCCTGACCAGTCCCTGCTGGACGCAGCACAGGGAGGAGGAAGAACCTCCTTTATAAGCTCACCCAGTGGTCTGCCAGACAACAGAGCAGGAACAGCCACTGGGTCCCAAGGGTGGGCCCAGGGACTCCCAACCGTGGGGAAGCACCGTCATATAGTGCTTGTACCCCGACTGAGTTGTGGGAGTTAGGCAAGCAGCGTCAGCAGCATCTGGGGGGAGCCCCTCCCTGCCTGAATTCTCTCTCTCTGGGACAAAGGAGCTGACCTATTTCTTGCTCAGCCTCAGATGGAAGAGCAGGTTTCTTTAATTACAGCGTGGACTGATGCTGATGAATTACCAGAAACTGTCAGTAGATGGCAATTGTATACAGACTTAGTGCAAGTCATTCAGGAAAAGGACACTGCTGCATGACCAGAGCATTCCAGCTCAAAGATTACCTGCTGCAGTCAGGCAGAAATGTAAAGCCTTTCCTGTTTGACTGGGAACTGGCCAAGGTGCCCAGCTTGGGGGGGACATCGGATAACCAAAGGCTGTATGTGGACTCGGCAATCCACCGGTCCCTAAAACCGAGTAAGTTTCCAGGCAGAGCTACATGTACTGATGGTTATGAAAGCTGATCAGTGAAAGTGAAACCTGGATCTTTGCACCTTGGCATCAGCTGCTTGGCTCCCCACCTGTGCACATGTATGCCTCTCCCATGCCCGAGGACATTCTGGAGATGGATGCTTTGCACAGCTTCGGAGTTGTGCTGTCTATCATAGATCTGATAGACCACGTGACAACAGAACTGTGATGGTGCCACTGTGTGGTGTCTTGACCAATGCATTCCCTTTAACTGTCATCACTCCAGAGAGCCAGGAGCAGTTTGCCTGCATGGGAGGACGACAGTGGATATTCATGGTGTTGCTGCAGGGCTGTATGCACAGCCCATTACATGTCATGGCCTTATCAATGACTTACATTAACCTCCGATTCTCTTGCAGATTGAGAAGCAGCAATGCCCCACTTGCCTGGGATGATGCAGCTGAAACCACCTTCCTGGCGGCTAAACAGGCTTTTCAGCAGGCACAAGCCCTCGGGTAGCTGATAAGGAACAGCCATTTAAACTTGATGTGCATGTGACCACAGAGAGTTTTGACTGGGGCTTCCGGCAGTGCACAGAGCACTTTAGAATGCCAGTAGACGTTTGGTCCCAACTTTGGAAGGGAGCTGAACACTGGTATCCCCTGACAGAGAAGCAGTTAGTAACTGCATAGGCTGCCCTTAGGCTCAGGACAGCACGGCGGGACGGGCTACAGTTGTGCGCATGACTTACCCAACAGCAGGGTGTGTATACTCATGGTTAACAACCCGCGCCCTGGGACGGCACACACATCACTTTTGCAAACCGGGGCGCCTACTTGGAACAGCGCATTATTCTAAGTCCCTTAGCAGCACAATTACAAGAAGTCTTAGGACCTGCAGTCCTGATACAAGATAAGGCCATGGGGCCTGAGGCAC